ATGGCAAGATTTCAGGTTTTTTGATGGCTGGGTAATATTCCATTGTATATATATACACCACATCTTCTTTAGCCATTCATCTGTCAGTGGACATCTGGGCTCTTTCCATAGTTTGGCTATTGTGGACCTTGCTGCTATCAACATTGGGGTGCAGGTGCCCCTTTTGACCATTTCATTTGTATCTTTGGGCTAAATACTGAGCAATGAAATTGCTGGGTCATAGGGTAGCTCTGTTTTCAACCTTCTGAGGAACCTTCATACTGTTTTCCAGAGTGGCTGCACCAGCTTGCATTCCCACCAGCAGTGTAGGAGGGTTCCCCTTTCTCTGCATCCTCGCCAGCATCTGTCATTTCCTGACTTGTTAATTTTAGCCACTCTGACTGGTGTGAGGTGGTATCACATTGTGGTTTTGATTTGTATTTCCCTAATGCCGAGTGATGTGGAGCACTTTTTCATGTGTGTGTTGGCCATCTGGATGTCTTCTTTGCAGAAATATCTGTTCATGTCCTCTGCCCATTTCTTGATTGGATTATTTGTTCTTTGGGTGTTGAGTTTGGTAAATTCTTTATAGATTTTGGATACTAGCCTTTTATCTGATACGTCACTTGCAAATTTCTTCTTCCGATACTGCCAGTTGGCTTTTGGTTTTGTCGATGGTTTCCTTTGCTGTGCAAAAGCTTTTTATCTTAAGTTCCAATAGTTCATTTTTGCCTTTGTTTCCATTGCCTTTGGAGATGGGTCTAGCAAGTAGTTGCTGTGGCAGAGGTTGAAAAGGTTGCCTGTGGATTTTGATGGATTCCTGTCTCACATTTAGGTCTTTCATCCATTTGGGTCTGTTTTTGTGCGTGGTGTAAGAAAATGGTCCAATTTCATCCTTCTGCATGTGGCTGCCCAATTTTCCCAGCACCTTTTATTGAAGAGACTTTTTTTTCCATTGGACATTCTTTCCTGCTTTGTAGAAGATTAGTTGACCATAGAGTTGAGTGTCCATTTCTGGGCTCTCTGTTCTGTTCCATTGGTCTATGTGTCTGTTTATGTGCCAGTACCATACTGTCTTGATGATTGCAGCTGAAAAGTTTTAGTTAAGGTATGTGCATTGTTTTTTTAGATATAATCTATTTCGTATTTCATAAACAGGATATATGTGTGTAAACGTAACTTTTATGTGCACTGGGAAACCAGAAAATTCATTTGACTAACTATACAGTGATACTCCTTTACTGTAGCAGTCTGGAACCAAACCAGTACCTCCAAGGTATACCTGTGGTAGTTTTGTGGGAAGGAATTCAGGCTTCACTTGGAGGCACTGTTAGCGTGGTCTCTCTTCTAGGAGCCAGCACCGCTGTTTGACCTGGCCATGCTAGCCTTGGATAGTCCTGAGAGTGGCTGGACGGAGGAAGATGGTCCCAAAGAAGGACTTGCCGAGTACATTGTTGAGTTTCTGAAGAAGAAGGCTGAGATGCTCACAGACTATTTCTCTTTGGAAATCGATGAGGTGTGTAACAGCCATTTGTATTCCTCTGTTGTATTCCTCAGGTAAGAGCCAAGTACTGTAGTTGGTCCTCAGTCAGGGTGAGAAGGCGACCCACCCTTGTGAGAAACAGCACGAGACATCCATTCACATCCTCACCCCCTATTTTCATGTCTAGGTTACACCACCTTTTTCTCATCCAGTCATGCCCATTCCTGTTCCCAGGGTGAAGGATCCCGACAAGAGAGAGCTGAATCCCACAGTCCCTACGGGCCACAGTGAATGAGATGATGCCAGGCCACTTGCTTTGTTTCTTCCTCTTATGCTTAATCTTTGGGGCTTTCCATATTCTCTGTATTCTTTAGTTGGTGAGCATATTGAAAAAAGAAGTTGTTCTGCTTCATGTCAGTACAAAAAGCTTTTTAAGTGCTTTGCTCTCCTACTCCTGGTGCCCAGCCAAGTCAAGCACCTGGTTGCCCAAAGTGTGGGCATGTGGATAAGACCTGGAGGGAGCACTGGGGAAATGGAACTTGATTAAACTGTAACAGTTTATTTCTTGTTTCCTTGTTGTGGCCTTTTCTTCACAACCAGGAAGGGAACCTGACTGGATTGCCCCTGCTGATCGACAACTATGTGCCTCCTTTGGAAGGTCTGCCTATCTTCATTCTTCGACTAGCCACGGAGGCAAGTGGTCAAGCTGTTTTTAATATGGGGGTACCTGCGTGTGGGCTTGGGGGAGAGGGCATGGGGCCACACCTTCATATGGAATGATGGAAAGGGTAAAACAGCTTGACGGCCCCCCCCTTATCCCACCTACCCCAGCAGTATTCAGCAGTTCCAGTTTACAGATTTAATGCCTAAAATGTTACATGTAAAAAGCTTTAAGTAGTCTGTGACCTTGTCTTGGAAATGAAATGTGTTTACTAAAGCAGGTACCTATGCTGAGGTATTAAATTCTCTCTTTGGACCAGGTGAACTGGGATGAAGAGAAGGAATGTTTTGAAAGCCTCAGTAAAGAATGTGCTATGTTTTACTCCATTCGGAAGCAGTATGTATCTGAGGAGTCGACCCTCTCAGGCCAGGAGGTACTGTAGTGACGCACAAGAGCACCTGGGAAGGGGCTGGGCTCTCATACAATGTTTAGGAAATGAAACTTGCTGCCTCTGAATTCCTAGGATTTCACTGCACATAAGGTTTAAACATAATGGTCAGCTTTTATTCATGAATTCTGCTTCCTTCTGATGGTTTGGAAGGTCCCTCTAGAATGATCCCAGTACCTGTCAAACGTGAAAGCACAAGCTGTCACAGTGAGAGCTGGGAGGCCGAGCTGGATGACCCAGGGCTAGTGAGCCCTCGTCTCCTGTCGTTAGCCCTCCAGCACACAGCCCCAGTCTCCCCACGCTTGTTTAGCTTTGGCTCATTTAATCTGACCACTGCTCTGCCAGGAGAACAGGGCAGTACTAAGGTCGGATCCCTAGCTTTTCTTACAGACCTTTCTGTACACAGAAAGGGCTTGGGTGACTGCACTTCCTACTGAACATCCTAGTCCATCATAGTCCAGATCAGATGTTACGTTAGATCCTGCTACAATCCACAGTTCCTCCCAAATGGAAACAAAGTTCCATGGGAGAAAGTCTCTGCCTTCTCTTCCTGTTGTCACCTCTCACGTTTGGGGCTGTAGGATCCCTGAGATTGAGCAGAGAGATGTTTCACCAGCATTAGGAAAAGAGCAGATTGTAATGAGTAAGACTTCCAGGTCCAGTACAGGTCAGCTGGGAAACCACAAATGCTGGGATGTGAGTAGGCCAAATAGGGAGGCTTGTGACCTCTAACACGTCTTTTGCCAGGGGGAAGTGTCCGGCTCCTCTGCAAACCCCTGGAAGCGGACTGTGGAACACGTTGTCTATAAAGCCTTCCGCTCACACCTTCTGCCTCCTAGACATTTCACAGAAGATGGAAATATCCTACAGCTTGCTAACCTGCCCGATCTGTACAAAGTCTTCGAGAGGTGCTAACCACACTCACTTGTGGACTCTGGGCTGTGCGGTTCTTGCATTGTGTCTTGATGAGGGTAGGTCTTATAGTTGACGACTCCCATTTACCCTCTAACTAGTAGCACTCTTTCACGCTTGGTGGAGTGACCAGAAATAAATTGTCAAATGTGTCCCAACATGATTGATTTAGTTTCACTACACTTGAAAGATTTTCTAGATCCATTTTCACCTATAGTATACCTGATTGTGTTGAAGAATCCAAAAGTAGTTTGAAAGCCCTCTGGGCATCTGAATTCTAAAAAGGCCTTGGAGATTTTATAGATCTTGCTCTGGTTTGAGGCTTTGGCATTCTAATTTCTGATATCAGCAGGTAAGAATTACATTGGTTCATATGCCTTTGGAAAAAGGTGCCGAACATACAAGAGGCTCTGGTGACACTGAGTTTGGAGAAAGCTGAATTGATAATCTGTTACTACATACCTAACCAAAGCTAATTAATTTGTAATGAAAAAAAAACATGCGAGAAGACAGCAGTCCTTACGGAGTTTTTAACTGGTATGCACCTAAGTAAGCCCCCTTTGTTAATGGATCTGAATCCTACCAGCTTAAGATAAAGTTCTAGTTATTCTTGTCTGAAGGATGACATAAAATTATAAACTTAAGCTGTAGGTGCCATTACAATAAGCTGCCTTAACACTAGCCTGCATTAACAGAAATGTGCATTGAGCACGGGGAGGAAGAACGCCCACAGTCCTGAGGTACAATCCAGATTACAAGACTCAGTGAAGAATGTTCCATGAGAAAGAACAGGGAACTCTACCTAATGAAGACATGGAGCCATTCCCTTTGGAAGAGAACAGGACAACAGGAGACAAATTTGTTGTACCACAAAAGGGGCAAGGTCAGGTTCTACCACATAGAACTTCCAAAAAGTCAAAGGGCGGCTCAGTAGTGGGGCTCAGTGAGCCCAGTGGGGCACAGGCTAAGCAGCCCCCAGCCTGACTCCAGGACCTCACCCTCTCTCCCTCTCTCCTATCTCCCACATGGGTGATTGCTGCTAGGACTGAAGAGAATTTATAGGAAATCCCCTCCATTCAGGACAGTGGTTTCCATATTTTAAAATTAAAAGGCTCATTGCTCTGAAGAAGGGGGTAATTTGTAGAGATTTTCTTCACATTCAAGTTAGCTGTAGCATCTAGTTTCAAGTCAGCTTTATTTATCTCATGTGCCTTTAATTCACTAGACTTCTCCCAGCCTTGGTTCTGAAGATACAGCCACCATCTCCACAAAACCACCTTGATTCTGAGGGCAAAAGCGAATCACAAATCCTGCAGAGTGGCCACACTCGATGATAAAAGCCCCTTGAACTGGGTGCCTTTAAAGATGAAACTGACTGGATTCTTAAAAAGCTGTATCCAGATTGTTCTCCTTGGGGAGGAAACAAAAGCAGAGGGGCAAGATCAGAGGCATGGCTGTGGCTGCCCTAAGGTGTTTTAAAAGCTCCTCTAACAAAAATGAATGTGTCAGTAGCCAGCTGTGGTCAGCAAGAGGGTGCGTTTTAATAGAGTCTTCAGGCCGACCTCCCGCCTGCCTGCTCCCCCCACCCCGCCGGACTTGTCTGAGGTTCCATTCCACAAAGCAGCAGCAGATGAGATACTTTACATGAGATACAGCACAGCTGATGTTGAAGATGAAGGGCCCTGCTCTTACTTTAAGAGTGTTAGGCTTTGGACTTGCCCGACCACATGCAATAAAGCAAGTTTTATATACACTCCCCATATCTTTTCTAACATTTCTTATATAAATTTAAATATTTTACAAAAAAAGTCTTTTTCCTCCAAACATAGAAATTTGAGTGAAACATATATTCCCCACCTGTGAACTCGGTTCTTCACTAAAATATAAATGCTATCTGAAATCAAGGGTAAGTGTCTTTTGACCGCTGGAGATGACTGCAGTCTGAATTGCACCGTGGAGAAGGCACTTGTGTTTTCCGAGGTCTCCAGCTGAGTTATCTCATTGGGCACTCACAGAGTCACTGTCCTCCGGAACCCGTGCCAAGGCCTTCGAGTGCCCAGTCACTGAGGCAGTTGGGGAAAAGTGGTGAGTAAACTTGATTCTAAAATTATGGAAATAAAAAATAAAAACAGCATGGACCAGTTCTTAGTCTAGAATCAAACTATGAACGAAATCCAAAAAGTGTTCATTCATGAAGATTCAAACCTGTTTCATTCTCTCATAAATTATAAAATACAAAGGTGGCTATTTTAATGACAAAACTCAAACAGTACTGAAGGGGGTCTGTGTCAATGGACAAAAAGTCAGTCCCTCTGGGAGGGGCCCCAGGAGCAGCACCCGGGCCGGAGGGTGGCCTCCTACTGCTGGGCCAGAAGTGCTGTCCTGTTGGCCTTCATCTTCTCCAGCCGCTTGGCCAGGTGGCTGTTGGTCATCTCCATCTCCTCAATCTTGTCCAGTGCTGTTCGTAACTGCAGACAGGGAGAGCCAGGTCATTTCACATGGTTACACGTGAACTCCAGTGCCACCTGAGCACCTTCCACCATGCCCCGCCCCCCCCCCCCCAAGAATAGAAGTGCTGCCAGCTTGGCCTTGCACGGCACCCCGTGTCCTCAGCTTTCTTCTGCCAGCTGGCGGTGCCCAGCAGGGACACTGAGCCTCAATCCCAGGAAGGGCAGACAAGCAGGGGGAGAGACCGACCAGCTCTACAACAGAAGGGAGACCTGTCCTTTCTCTTAGTTTCTAATTGACCAAAGCCTAAAAGTAAATGGCAGTCACTGTGCAGGTCAAAAACCAACACCAAAGAGGAAGAGCCTCCATGGATCTTCCCTTAAGACTTGGACCCAGGATTCAGTTCCTCGGGCAGCGAAGGATCTTTTCTTTGAGCATGCAACAGCAGGTACCTCTCGCTGTAGCTTCCTCTTTTCCGCCTTCAGTTCATCCTCCACCTTCTCGGCATTCTCCGCGGCGGTCTTATACCTCAGCACCTGGCCCTCGAGCCGGCTGATCTGTCAACAAGAGAAGGCGAGCCTCTGCTAGTGAGCTCCGGGAGCCCCTTTCTCGAAGCCACATGGAAACACAGCGTCATTACAAATCCCAAGTCATCCCCTCACGGTGAGTCATAGGGCCTCTCAGAACCCAACGGCTATTTATAGATCAAGAAATGTCCCCGGAGAGGATTACAGCTGGAGAGTCATTACAGAGTCCATTTCCCATGTTAAGTTTATGATGAACATATTATTTAAGTGCCAAATTAACATTGCAGGACAAGATTCACTAAATGGAAAAGCATTTGGACTTTCTGAAATGTGCAATAAGGGATTTTCAAACTACAGTCTTCCTAAAGTCTCTTGAAATAATCTGGAAAAAACAATTATATCTCAGTCTTGTGCATTTTTACAACTAACAAAAGGCTGAAGTGTCCTGCCAGGTTTTCTCTGCTGGCTTTTCTACTTTAAGAGAGAGCTTTTACAGAGACCCCACTACAGAGACAGCCAAGGAAAGTTGGGTACCCCTGGAACTGGCCACTCAGATGCAGGAAGTTGCAAAGGGAGTGTGAATCACTTCGTAGCGTGCTGAACAAGTACTTACACTCTGCTCCAATGTGGTTATATCCTGTTCTGCCTTTGAAAGCTTAAATTTATATTCACTAATTTGTCTATTGGCATCTCCTAGAAGAGAAGAGAATAGTGAATCACCTGTCAGCAGCTGTGACCTCAGGCAGTGACAACCTCTGCAGCCCAGGAGGGGACAGTACAGTGGAAGGAGACAAAGCGCAAATGCCCACGGGGCGGCCACAGCACCTCTGTAGCCTGGGCTCCAGAACAGCTCTCCTGCCAGAAGCTCTAACACCTGATCCCAGCATCCCTTGGACCAGGGAGTTGGAAGAAAATGTGACTCTTCATGCTATGGTGGGGGGAGGCTGACCACTGACCCTGTCAGTGCATCGGTGGCCCCCGCCAACCTTACGTGCTACCCTTCCCCCAGGAGCCTCCAGTTTCCCTCACCTTCCTGCCTCCCAGGCTCCCTTCTGCTGCCACACCTCCAGGACCTTCCTTCCCCACCTCTGACTCATGTCCTCAGCATGCCTCTATTTAGTCTCCTGTAACTTCACCTTCCCTGTCATGTTTTTAATGGCTTTTCTAACATGATCATGCCTTCTAAACACTGTACATTAGAAGAGGGGCCCTGGCTCTGCCATCCTCAAGTCTACCTCTGTATCTCGCCAAGGGCTTTGGGCATGTACTTAATAAACATTTGCTCAAAGAAATGCTTTTCAGTAACATTGTGATAATGTGATGAGTAGACTTCTAAATCATTAGTTGTACTTCTGACCTAAGAAGTCATTTAAAATAAGAAGTTTGAAAATTCACTCCAGCAAACCAAATTTCACAAAAATCACCTGAAATGATTATAGGGTAGGAATCATAAGGCCTATAGGAGATAAACCAAATCTAAGCTATCTAACTTAAGAACCTTTCTACTTTTCCACATCACTGAGGTTATAACTACTTATATAATCTTCAGGCAGAGGTTCTTCTCACAGGTAGTTACTGTTACCTGGAAAGTAATGATGCTATAAAACTGTCTTCCCAAAGGCCCCTCTGGCAGTGACAGACAAGAGTTCCTACTGCTGGGCTCTAAAACAGAAGCTTCAGGATCTGGTTTTAATCCTTCATCCCAGGGGCGCCTGGGTGGCTCAGTGAGTTAAGCCGCTGCCTTCAGCTCAGGTCATCATCTCAGGGTCCTGGGATCGAGCCCCGCATCGGGCTCTCTGCTCAGCGGGGAGCCTGCTTCCTCCTTTCTCTCTTCCTGCCTCTCTGCCTACTTGTGATCTCTGTCCGTCAAATAAATAAATAAGATCTTTTAAAAAAAATTTTTTTTAATTAAAAAAAAAAAAAATCCTTCATCCCAGCCACTTAACTATCACAATGTGCTGCTTCCTTCTCATGGCAAACCTCCCTTTCCTTCCTGTTTTCAAGAGTGTAAGTCCTTCATCTTTGCCATTTTGTGCTTGCCATGAAATTCCATTCGACCACACCATGCTTACATCCCCGGGCTTCCTTTGCTGGCCAGACCCAGTCTATCAGGTCCCACTGAGCCCACCTCGTTCTACAGTTCACTCTGGGTCCTTCCCAGACACCAGCTCCATAATGCCCACCCGCCCTAGGAGCATTCACACGTAAGGCATGCCCGTTCTCCCTCAGTGTGACTCCTTTTGAATTTGCTGCTTTAGGCCAATCTCTTTCAAATCTACTCCCTGCCCTTCTTTAAGACTGTTGGCAGCCACTGTACTGGTCCAGCTGATCCTCGCAGCCTCCCAGCTAGTCAGCCTGCCTTTCCTCATGCCCATCTTCATCTATCCTCCATGCCAAAATATTTCTAGAATATTCAATAAGAAGTGTCACAAGGGTCCCAGCTGATCTCTAATTAAGGACATGATACTAACCTCAAAAGGCAGTATTAACAGTATTAATAAGCTTTAATCCAAGAAGCCTTTTCTATTTAGCCTAATGCAAAAAATATTTAGATGAAAAGGCCATGGAATAACCGATATTTTTAAATAAGTTATCAGAAAAGCCACAATTCAAATTGAAAAAGTCTCCCCTCTCCACAAATGCTACATTGTCGAACTATATAGGAATGGCTGCTGACCTCCCCCAACCATGGAGATTACATTACTGTGGACACAGGAGGCATTTTAAAACAGCATGGGGTCAAAAGTAGAAAGGAGATAAACTGCATGAGGTAAACTGAACAGGCTTACTCTGGCCTTGTTTTAAATTTTATCTATAAGGATTCATTTGGTTAATAAGAAAACTTCCAGCAAAGTTCTAAAACTGTTCAACATTAGTATGAGTTAGTTCCAAATATATCCTCCCACTATCCAAGAGAGATTCCACAAGAAAAATAAAGGTGCTGTATGGGAGCTGACAGTTGACCCAGGTGTGGAAGAAGACAGCGCCAGGAGGACACTATTTCCAAAATGTCTCTAGAAATCACTGCACAGAGGGGTAAGTGCTCTTATCCAGTCCTCTCTTACTCCATTCCCTGAAGTGCAGAGGCTGCTAGAAGACTCTCCCCGGCCAGACCACTGAGATCAGGACTACACTCTGGACTTGCCGAGGATTAAGCCATCTTTGTAACATGGCTCCCCCAGAGATGCACGTGGGAGACGGGGAGCCTCCCCACAGAGTGGCGCTGGCCTGGCCATGGTACCTACTCTGCATCTCGATGAACTGCAGGTCAGAACCATTGTGCAGCCCCACCATGTCTGCTGCCGAGCCCTCACTCCGAGAGCACTTCTGCCGCTCCTCCTCCAGCTGCAGCTTCAGCCTTCGGATCTGAAGCAGAAAGAGAGGGCCGTCACAAGATCCGCAGGACACAGTGGGTCGTCGGCCACACAAGTCATCCGCCCAGAACCTGAGTGCCTACCACGGGGCCACGGGGCCAGATGCGCTAGCGACAAACTGGGAACATCAGAAGGAGTGAGCTCCAGGACCAGGTGTCCCAATCAAAACAGCCCTATTTGATGTTGTGTGTAGGCTGGTGGAACAGCAGATCTTTTCAGTGTTTCTCACTACTTTTGTTCAATTCCGTTTTTAATAAAATTCCACAGGCAGTTAGGTGTTTGTGTTTTGTCTTAAAATTGGGGTAAATATCCTAGGCTAAATATTTAGGAAACTTAAATGTTAAACATTGAATTCAATTAAATACTAAAATTAAATTTAATTAAAATATTAAGTATTAAATATGAACACTTAAATATTAGGTTAAATATTTAGAAAACCTTCTGTATACAGAAACAGTTGGAAACGTATTTTTTAGTTTGGTTCACAGTTGATCTACCTTATTTTACCCAAAATAAAGGATATTTATAGTAGCTTATTCATAATGGCTCCAAACTGGAAATGATCCAAATGTCTATCAACAGGAGGCTGAGCAAACTACGGCACATCTACCCAGCAAGAAAGGGGAAAGCACTACTGATAGGTGCAACACAGTTGAGTCTCAAGAGGACATACTATGTAATTCCAATTATATAAACCTCACAAAATGGAAACTAATCCACAGTGACAGAAAGCAGAACAGTGGTTGCCTGGACAGGGGGAGAGAGGAAGGCTGAGGAAAGAAGGCTTACCAAGGGACACTGAAACTTTGGAGGGGTTATGAATATTTTCACCATTTTGATTGTGGTCATGGTTTCATGAGTATTGCTATGGGTTGACTTGTGTCCTTACAAAATTCATATGTTGAGGTTCTAACTCCCAGTACCTCAGGATGTAAACTCATTTGTAAATGGAGTCAGTGAAGATGCATTTAGTTGAGCTGAGATGAAACCATGCTAGAACTGGGTGGGCCCCTGATCCAGTATGACTGGTGCCATACAGAGAGACAGGCACGTACAGAGGGACAACGATGTGAAGACACAGAACGCTATCCACAAGCCAAGGAATGCCACAAACTGCCAGCAAAGTGCCAGGAGCCAGAGAGAAGTATGGGACAGACGGCCCTTCACAGACTTCAGAAGGCACCACCACTGCTGTCACCCGACCATGGGCACTTGTTGAATCTCCAAAACTATGCAGACAGGACACCTCCATTCCTCTAAGCCACCCAGTCTGTGGTACTTTGTAGGGGCCGCCCTCAGAAACGAATACGGTAGGACATTTGTACACCTTAGGTATGAGCAGCTTATTCTATACCAGTTATACCTTAATAAAGCTACAGGGGTTTTTAATTTATAAACTGAAGAAACTGAAAATGAATCAAATGTGAAGGGATTCAGGTTTGGGAACAGACAAGGCCCACAGGAGACAGGAGCCTGCACACACGGAAAACAAGATCAGATGAACAGACAACGTACTGATGCTAAGGTCCCCGGTCCGGCCTCAATCCCCAGGATCCTGCCAGCAACACTGCTCCGTGGACGCAGAGTCCTGGGGGATGTCTCCCTCCCTGTCTGCCTAGTCTAAGGTAAAGACCAACATACCCACATCAAAATTTCCCAAAAAACACCCAGCCACATCAGCCTTACATATGCTCAAAGCTGCCCATCAGGGTTTTAGTCCCCACTGGCCCTGAAACTTAGGGCCAAATAGCATTAGTTAGGAAATAAACTATGCAGATGGAAGTAAACAACAGAGAACAGTGACGAACTGTCAATATCCTCTGAGGTAAGTAAAAATATCTACATCTGGAAATGACTGCAGAAACATAAAGCCAATGGAAGTTTTCAAAGATGAAGTTGAGAAAATATTTTTAAAGTAGAGCAAAAGAGATCAAAAGGGATGGACAAACAGGAAAGAAACAAAAAAAAGTGCTGATCCCAGAGGTCTACCGCCCCTTCCTTCAGAAATCAGAGCCATTTTCCCCCCGAATGCCTACAACTCTTACCAGCAGAGTTTGGGGAGCACTACAGCTCAGAACTACAAGGGGGAACTGCCTCTGTGACCAAGACCGAGCCTCCCTAGGCCACCTTTGCCCTTCATCATCAAGGGTCAAGGGTGATGCTCAGAGTTAAGGAGGCTTCCCTAGCTGGTACCCCATCAACAGTGGTCAAAGGGAAGCCTGGGCACTAGGGTTAAGTGGGCCATCCCCAGTGGGGAAAGGGTGAGCTCTGCACTGGGAGGAAACCCATGCTTCCCAGACACCTCCATCCTTTCAACATCTCCCTTGAGTGAACCAGGACTAGTTTTTCATTATCCCCAATATCATTATGTCCATCTCAAAAATAGTCATCCTCCTACACTCTTCCCTGAAGGGCGTTGTACAACTGTCACCCCCATCTGCACCTTCTAACCCTTCCCAATGCCTAAAAATCTGGATTACCATTTCCCTTCATCCTGAGTCTCTTCTCTGAGTGGTCCCTTTATCTAGTGCATTAGCAGAAATCCACTCTCCCCTGAGAAGCCTGTTCGCTCTGCAGCCCTCTGACCTGGTGATTTCTCCCAGAGCCCTCCTACCACTGGGCCTGAGAACAGAACACATGACCTGCTTTTTGTGCTGTGGCCCAACTATTCTCCATCGGTGCTCCCTAAAATCCCTACTTCCTGACCTCCTCCCTTCTGATTCCATGTACCAACCACCCCTCATCACTGCCATTGCCCTACTCCTTCACAATTTAGCTCCTGATTTATGCTCCCTCAAGGATAGCCTGAGCAATTTAAAGATCCACCTACATAGAGAATTTCTCCTATGACCGATGGCAGTTTCTGGAACACCTCCTCTCAGAGGATCTTGTCATCACTACTCTCCCATAGTCATATACTGGATTCTCCCACCTGATTAAGTGCAGTCCCTGCATGAGTCAGTCCCATTATCTTTTCTCCAACCTCTACTCCTAGTCTTTCCTGCTCCCTCTCTCTCAGGAACCCAAATCCCAGTCCTTCAATCCTACTGATATTTCCCATCTTTCCACTGGTCCTTGACATCTTCCTGGATTACCCATTAGCCTCATTACCCACTTCATCTCTGGGGTCATCATTATCAATACTCTCCTCCACATGCCCTCACCTCCTCTGCTCAAGTACACTCCTGGGTAAAATCCAACTCCGCCCACCCACGCCTGCATCTATGGCCACTAAATGTGGCTAGAGAAACATACAGTAAGTGCAGTCACATAAACTTCGAACATACCATATAACTTACACATTCATTCCGTCTATTGTTTATTGTCTGCTTTCCTCCTACTAGAATGTAAGATCTGTCTCCTCGTGCAGGGATTATTTAACTGAGTAGTTCATGGAAATATGCCAAATGCCTGGAATGGAGCCTGTTAAAGAGTGGCATCTCATTCAACATTCGAATGACTGAACAGGAGTTTCAAAAAGAGATAACAGATTATGGGAAGGTAGAAAAGCAGTCAAAAAATTTTCCCAGGATTGAAGTACAGAAATTCTGAGAATTGACAGGGGCCCAAAACATGCAGACAACTCCAAACCACATCACTGTGAAACCTCCAAACAGGAAGGAGAAAGTATGATATAAGCCACTAAAGAAGGGAAGAAGTCACATACAAAAGATGAAAAATCAGAATGCCCTTGAAATCTTCAACATGTTGGCTTCCATATTGGAAGCCAGAAGACAATGAAGCAATTTCTTTTAAAAAAAAAAAAAAGAAGAAGAAGAAGAAGAAGAAGAAGGAAAAATTCCAAGAATTCTCTAACCAAACTGTAATCAAGTAATAGGGTAAAATGAAGACATTTTGAGGCCTCCAAAGCTATGAAAAATTTACAGCCTACAAATCCTTTTCTCAGGAAGTTACTGGGGGATGTACCAAAAACAGAATGAATGAAAAAGGAGGAAGGCGTACAGCATTGCTAAAAGGGACTCCAACCTCAACCACAGGCAGAGGAAACCCTAGGCGGGGACAAAGGGCAGCCCGCCTAGGCGTGGAGGGAATAGGCCATGAAGTTCCCAGGGGGCCAAGTCGGACGCTCCAAGAACCAGCAAGCGGAACGGAGAGAATACTTGGCGCACCGCAAACTCTAAGCAGATTCAACTACTGCAGGCGCAGCAGCGACGCAAGTCATAAATACACAGGAAACCAAGCAGAGGAAAAGAAAAGCCGCAGTATCAACTCTGGGGAGCTGGAGCTGTGATGAAGAGGGAAGGCAGCTCTGGAACATTGCGGGGCTCCATGACAACTGCTTATGAGTCCCAGTGACACATGCCGACGGGATGCTCTCGCTGTGCCTTTGCTGGGACAGGGGATGGGAAGGGTGTGAGTGCTGCTGGGGACAGAAGGCTAGATGGTCCTCTTGCACAGAGGGATGTCAATAGACAGTGCCCAAAACAGAACCATCAAGAAGCAACATAAGCGTGTGGGAGAGAAATACACAAGAACAGTACACATGGAAAGAATCTGCTGAACCAATCAGCATGGTCAGGGTAAAGGTGAGGAGGCAGAGCAGGAAACTTCTGTCTTTACAAGAAGCTTCATAGAGCTATTTAACTCCTTAAACTCCACGTCTGATAATTTTTTTAAAAAGAACAGGAAACAACAAAAATGCAAAATATGAATTTATCTTTTTGTCCTTCAAATCTTGAGTACTAATGTTTGAAATAAGCGCATCTCTTTCTTGTATACATTTTAATTTGCTAATGCTTTGCCATGTGATTTATTTAGTCCATTAAATTAACATTATCTTCCAGTGAGAAGAATGCCTTTACCTGTGATAGTAGCTCTTCCTTTTCTCCAGCAAGTTTTCGTAGCCTGATATCTAAAACAAATGGAAAAGGTTGTAAACTAAATTTGTGAGGATATAGTACAGAAACAATTAAAAATCATTCTTGAAATTCAGAAACAGCAAACATTATCTGATAACTTATAGCTCTCAATATCAAAGAAATGAAGGCTTAAGTTCAGTGCTAAGGAAAAATACTTAATTATTCAACACATATTTCCATACAAAAAACAGCTATCAAGGCACTAAATACAACATTTGCTCCCAAGGGCAGTGACTTTCCACTGAAAGACAAACCAAAGTACAAAGATCACTTCCTTGTTTCAAAAATGTGCAAGCTTTCACCAGCAGACAGACAACTCGAATGCTGGGTGCTCCCAGGTTTAAGCCTCACAGGAGCAAATAAAATCTGGGAGAGAAGACAGAAGGGGTACAAGAGAGCCTGGGTGGAGAGGCTGGTACAGGGAAAATGGGAGGACAATGCTGAAGAAACAAAGGCCCTCAGAGACTAGTGAGGGGAAATGAGGAAACTCCGAGTTGCAGGCAGTCAAGGGCTAATCTGAGGCGTGGCGGCAGGATTGCTAGGGCTTACTCCTGGCCTGGGGGTTGGGCTGCTGCTTCCCAAGCATACCATTAAAACAAGGCCCTCGGACTGAGAGGGGCCAGAGATGAGTAAAAGCAGCAGTCAGCGCTGAGCCAGAGCCTCCCCCAATCAACTAGGGTCCCGGCCGAATGTTAAGTGCTGGCTTCCCAGTACCTTCCCAACAAGCAGAGGAAGCCCTGGGCTGCCCCCAGCCACACACTCTGCGTTCTCTACAGAGGCTCCCACTGCCCCGCCCACAGCCTCTGCCATATCAAAGTGATGTCTCTGCAATTCTGTGCATCAGAGAATGTGTTTACTAACTCTGAAAAGGTCCCAGTCCTCTAGAAAACCTACACATTATGAAAACAAAAGGAAAAAAAAACGGCTGGTGTTAGAGTATCTGTGCCACTTTCCTTCCTCTCGAGCTGAATTCTTAGTAGAGCCAATGGATGGGCATCTGCGCGGTTTCCCGGGAGAGGTGTTCTTAAAGTCTCAAAGGCTTAAATTTAAGATGCTTAGATGTTAAGAGGCTCAGAAGCCTTGCTCTAGAAAAAACACTCTAAGATCTGACTTCTTGGTCACCTGTTTCTTGCCTTAAGAAATGCGGTGGAAAGCCACCACACCCCTGGGATAAGTAACAAAGCATAAAACCAGATTCTCCAGGAAAAAGAAACTTAAAACACACTTGGGAAGTCCCCTACCAGCCCACTGGTTCCTTGGGATGCATATGCTGGATTATCTCTTCCCGGAAGGTTTGTATTTAAGTAAAAAAGCAATGTGTTTACACCAGCAGTGTTTCCATCCAGAGGCCGTACAATGACCCAAATGCTGGTTTCCCAAGTTCAAGGATGCCTAAAGACTCTGTGCCCAGATTTCTTCCTGTTAAGAATTCAGATAAACCTCAGATAGCCCTTGTGTTGTTTTTGTTTTCCAAGATGGGATATGAGTAAGCCGGAAGTCTAAGAGGACAGTAAATCCAAGCCGACAGAGCAGCAACCAGTGTCTTACCTAGTGGACCCTCTCCTGCAGACTCCAAGACCTGAGCAGCCTCCTGAGACACCACGGTGATGGCTCCCACCACTGGTTCATGATTGACATCCCCATTGGGAGTGCCATCAGGGATTATAACTAAGCCACGTTTCTGTGGAAAAGGAAAAAAGTCACCATCACAAAACATGGCCCACACGGAAGCAGTAGTATGCTCTGTGAGGTGACCCTGCGTCAATATGTCTGCCACAGGTAACAGTGGGTTAGAACTAGTTACACGGAATATAGGTCCGTAGAAGAAATGACTGAAACCTACCAAATCTGCACTGAAGGGTGAACGCTGGGTTGTCTTCGGGCTGGGAAAGATAACAGGATGAAAGGAAGGAAGAATAAAGCAGTGAGGGACTTGAACTCCCGGCTAAAGCTAACGTACCTCTCCTGTCTTCACTGTCTCCTTCAGGTCAGCCAGCTCCTCTCTGAGCGTATCGCGCTCATTCCTAAGGCAGGCAATGTATTCTTTCTGTTTCTCTAGGGCCTGGTTTTAGACAGGGTAGCAAGGGAAAGAATGGCACAGAAAAAGAGCAAGTGAAAGAGGCAGCAGAGAGTACCTAATTCAAATAAACAAAGATAAGGCCATAAAAGACAAGGGAGCGGTAAAGCTTGGAAACCAGCAGTTAGATATGGGTGGAAATACAAAGTCATATGGACATACATCTGCACAGGAGGGTTTCAACAAAAACTGGTTAGTCGTGAGTCAATTCGCAAAAACATGCTTATCACATCAGGCAGGAGAACTGATCTTTCTTTTCCAGTCGATGGGAAAAAAAAAAAAAAAGGAAGATGAAGACAGTAGTCATATTAAAATAAAATTTTCCTTACTGACCTTACTACATTTTCATATGGTGACCAAAACAAATGACATTTTATGTTTAACTAAAACTGTTCATCAGGATACAGTGAAATTTTTTAATTAAGAAAATTAAAATTTTTTAGTTAAAAAAGTGTTAATGGCCCTAGAAGAAAAAATAACCAATATATACAAGGTATTTTAATTAAATATTGGCTGTAGTGATTGTTCTGCAAACAGTGTGGCAAAATATTCCTCAAATACAACTTAATTCAAAATAGCTAATCTCCAAAGGGATTCCCAAGGACCTGTTTTTTTGTTAATTTAGTTAAATACAATTAAGAATCTGGTTTCTGGGGGCACCTGGGTGGCTCAGTGGGTTAAAGCCTCTGCCTTCGGCTTGGGTCGCGGTCCCAGGGTCCTGGGATCGAGCCCAACGTCGTCGGTCTCTCTGCTCAGCAGGGAGCCTGCTTCCTCCTCTCTCTCTCTCTGTGCCTGCCTCTCTGCCTACTTGTGATCTTTGCCTGTCAAATAAATAAATAAAATCTTAAAAAAAAAAAAATCTGGTTTCTGATACACCTTTCTAAATGGGAAAAAGAAAACACTGACAAAATAAATACAGCCCACCTATGGAGTGCAGCAGAATATGGGTTTGGGGGTCAGGCTTTTGAGTACCAGCACGTACTAACTTACCTAGGCCTCAGATTTCTCATCTGAAAACAGAAGGGACAATACGTACACAGCATAAGCACTGCTGCCATGCGCGACTCCCAGGAAGGCTGAGGAAAAGCCCAGCACTTTCTTTCCACTTGGATCACCCCCACCACTGCCTGAATCACAACTGTCAGAGCTGAGACCAACAGGGCAGAAGCAGGCACACACACCTGGGTCATCAGTGACAGAACGAATCTGTTCTATGTAAGGCAATAACCCAGAATTCAAAACATACCCTAGGCAAGCAGCCCATGCAGATACCTGACAGCTGGACTATTCTGAAAAAACCTTTCACTACATCAGTGTTCCTGTATTTAATATTTTCTGCCAATAGCCCCAACAGGCCAAGAAGTTAAACTACAGCAGGTACCTTTCCTCTCAGTTTATGGGGTTAGAAATGAGCCAATGGCTTCATTACTGACTGCTGAGTAGGTGGACAGTGTTCTAAATCATTTTAATCTTACGACAAGAGACACTGGACAGCCACCAACCGTGCGGCTCCAAGTGTACAACAGGCACCGCTACAGAGACATGTAATTTTGCCCTAATATATTGACATACATATTATTTCTCCCTTCTATATCCTGCACTTGTCTTATCCCCATTGCACAGATCAGAAAATTGACGCTCAGAGGTTTTATATATATACATTTTTTTTTTTTTTTTTTTTTGCCCAAAGTCGCAGTAAGTGCCAAAGCCATAAAGTAAATCTAGTTCTTTTTGGTCTCAAAGCCTTTGCTACTTTTTCTCTATCACAGTCCCAAGAAGGCCACAATTATGTTTCCTTACTGTCATCCCAGATGCTGCTGGAAAAGAAGCCTCTAAGTAGCCCTATCCCATACTTACCCAAACTGCAACAATATCTAATTTCCTTTCAGCAATTTACATTCACACCATATGGCATGTCTTGAGTCTGCCTTCATATTAATCATTTAGGCGTTTATCCTAACACTTGAAGCTACTATTACCACTCCATTGCATTAATAACAAATGTTAACCTCAGGACAAAAAAGCACAAGCAATACTTTCCCATCTGTTGGCAGACACTCGATCTCCAGGGCTTAGATATTTGTGGGTTATTGGTATCTGCGTGCATAGTTACGCCATGCATCACCGCATACAACCAGGTCAGTGATCACTGCCACAACATGCTCTACATAACCACCACCGCTAGATGCTCTTAGGAACAGACCAATCTTAAACTAGAAATTCTAGCAAATGCTAGTACATGCCATTGGTTCCTTTTCCTACGTGTTACAGCAATGGATTTTATCTTTACTTTGGGACTTAACTTTATTTTCCCATAATTATGGATGGGAAAATAAAATACATCCTTTAAGTTCTCCCATTTCACCACAAAGTTTGAAGGCTACTGAAATACCTTCTAATTGGAGCAAATGTATTCTCACTGATCTGAAATCCTCTGTAGCACCTGAGCGTAAAACTGCTACCCTGTGTTTGCATTCAGTAATAGCTCTCACAGTAGACTTTTTTCCCATGCTTAGGATAAAAACTACATGCCTGTGGAGATATAAATAATTCTTTACCCCTGACCTAACCTCAAATTCTAGTGTCAAGAAGCCTGAAAGATATGTAAAACAGGATGAACTCTGGGGACAACAGGTTATTTCTCCATATAATTGTATGGGGCCGAAACATCTTAGAATGGGACGGAGCCTCACACAGGGCTATCTAGATACACCAGTCCCGTGTATGTGCTTATTCCACACATAGCCAACTGGCACTCGGAACTGCCTTAGGGCCACAAGCATGACCACAAGGATCGATGGAGGAAAACCAAAGAAAACCAAACTCTAACATGAGAATAACAGCCATGTTCCTTTATTAAGTCACTAACTTTAAATCTTGAAAATGAAGCTAGAAACAAGTGATACATGAGGTAGTCACTGACTATATTGAAAATGTATCTTGTGCAGGTCGTGGGAGGACCACATTAGGATGGTTATCAGAAAAACTGGAAACAAGTGTTGGTAATAGAACCCTTGTGCAGTGCTGATGAGAATGGAAAATGGTACGGTTGCTGTGGAAGACAGTCTCACTACTCCTTAAAAAACTTAAACATACCATTACCATATTACACAGCAATTCTACTCCTGGCTATCAACCCAAAGTAAAGAAAGCAGGGCCACAAAGAGGTATCTGCAAACTCGTGCACAGCAGCATTATCCACAAGAGCCAAAAGGTGGAAGCAAACTGAGTGTCCATCCATCACCCAATGAATGGATAAACAAAATGTGGTACATACATACAATGAACTATCATTCGGCCTTAAAAAGGAAGGCCGTTCTGACACATGCCCCACCACAGATTAAAAAAAAATTCTTTAAGTTTAGTTTTTTAAAAAAGCCAAAAGAACACATTATTATATACCATACAGAAAGAAGATAGCCACTTACTCATTCAGTAATGTCATGAATATTTAAAAGTCAAATAATCTGTCTTAACTATGAGCACATCTTTTTGGTAGAAAATAAATTTTTGTTTTATTTTGAATAGCTATTTTATTGGACTGAGTGGTTTGGAGTTTTCCTATAGCTGATCCAAAATAATCGGTTTAAATACTAAGATAATTATACAAAATAGAAATCATGGACCTACAGATCTGTGCTATAGAAAATTATGTGAAGGTCCTAAAAGAAGACCATTCTAGTGACCAGAATAACTAACCTTTACAAATTACCTACTTTGTGCCACACATTTTTTCACATCTCATTTTAAATTCCCCAAGTAAAAATGTAAGTAAGTTTAGTAGCTCACAATCAGAATTTCAAAACTCTTAACAGTTATATTCCAGAAGGCTCTTCTAGCTTTTAGAATTTTAGGAACTCAGTACTTAAATATTAAAAACTCTTAAGAAATAATTTTGTTTCCCATGTGTTTATTAATAAGAGGATGGGGGGGTGGGCACCTGGGTGGCTCAGTCAGTTAAACATCTGTCTTCCACTCAGGTCATCATCTGGGGTTCCTGGGCTGCAGTGAGTAGGGCTCCCTACTCAGCGGGGACTCTGTTTCTCCCTCTCCCTACCCCCACCCAAGCTCGCACACTCTTGCTCTCTCAAATAAATAAAGAAAATCTTTAATTTAAAAAAAAGGGGTGGGGGAGGCTATGTCCTTGGATGTATGAAAAGAACTGGATACAAGAACTCCCCCATCAACAATGAAGATTATGACCCAGAGGGCTGCTCATCCAGGCATGTCTATCATAGGTGTTCTTGGGGATCTTTGCCAACTTTTCCCTATGCCACCTGACCTCAAGCAGAACAAAACTTTCTGTGTTCTCAAGACAAGGGCTTTCTTCCTTCTCTCTGCTTCCTCCACCATAGCCCTTCCCTGACAAGGTAAGCGTCTGGCAGCTATGGCTGTGTGGCACCCCCAGTGCAGAATAGAGCTCACAGCATGAGGTAGGACACATGTCAAGGGTAACACGGGATGAACTGGTGGGAATTTTTCCAGCCTCCATACACTTGGAATCTATCTAAAGGGCTTATTAGCAAAAAAACACTGAAGACTTTCCTTCTCTGGGCAACCCCCCTCCCTGCTTTGGGGAGTCATGGGTTATAATTAGAGATGACGTCATGGTTTGGCAACTGTGGCAAATCTTACATTCCTATCCACTTCCGTAACTAAATTGATGTTAATCTCTTCCTATTTTATTCACCAAGGATTTATGGGATGCTAATTACTTTTCCTCCACCCCCCACTCACTGTTCTCTTGTTTCTCATCCAAAATTCTTGCAATGTAAGGCTATCTGGTTACCCACAGAGTTTGAATTAAATGCCTGCGGCTGCTTTTGGATGAGAATCCTGGGGCAATAAACTTCCCTAGAAAGTTCCTACTTTGTAGGTTTCACAAGCCCAGAGTCCTGCTAGCAAGAAGAGTTCTTTCCAGATATACTATCACGTTTTTCCCTGGAAGTTTTTTTCTGTCTTCTGCTTATTCCCATTTCAGTGTATAAATGCTCAAAAATAACCAAAAGGACAGATTTTTAGGAATCTCTAAGTTAAATTATATTGGTCTATTTCTCATCAATGAGCTTCAGACCAAAGCCCAATTTCATTTCATACCCTAATATTTTTATCTTTCCAAAGGAGTGTCTCCTGGAGGTCAAACACCTCTTTTGTCACGGTGTCTATTTTCTGCTGCATTCGTTGATTCTCCTGCAGAGGAAGTGGGGAGAGAAGTAATAAAAGAACAGAAAGAAAAAACGGAGGGGGTCAGAGGGAGGAAAACAGAACAAAAAGTAAAGCTGATAAACTTAATAAAGGGAGAAAGAAAGCTGTGCTGAACAGGAAAAGAGCTGCTTGCAAAGGAGAAGATGACATCCAGTGTCTTGGCGACAGGATTTCTGCTGGCTTGCCACAAGGGAAGTGGGAAGAACTACTGGGAGCACAGCCCTGCGGCAGCAAGCCGGTTAGGGCTTCTGTGTACAAGCAACTCCACATATGTGCTCTTCCTCTGATAACTGCCTTTTTTCCAAACATGGAGCAACTTACATTTCTAGAGAGGGAAATTTTGCTTATGAGAGAGCAAGCTATAGTTTTAAACTTTATTTTCTTAAGTAGAACTAAAAAATACAAAACATCTCAACTTAATCATTTCAAATTTGTTAGTAGAACCTACCACAGCAAGAATGATATGAATTTGAAGGAACAGTCGTATTTTTAGTTTAGTTCAGTTTTTTAGAAAAACTAGAATTCAGCATGTAGCCATTCTTAGGCAACTATTCTCCTTAGGCAACAAGATTCAATTTATACACTTGAATATTAACAGATTTTCTTTTAAGAATTATTGGTAAATTACCATCTCCTACCTTTCCTACATACACATTTCTTATCTACTTTACCATGAAAGACCAAAAAGCATTATTTTCTCATATTCATTGTTTTTCAGTTATACATACACAGGGGTGTTAACATCTAAGACATGTTACTTCTAAACATAAAAACTCCTAAAACTAACGTCTTTAAAGTTCGTATATACAGCACCCTCGGCCTTCTTTAAAGAAATCACAGTGACAAGTTATGGGAATCAAGCATTACAATCTCTCTTAAGCACTATCATCAAATTAAAAGCTAAAACACTTAACCAATTCTAACTTAAGGTACTGAATTTGAGAAGCAGCTGGCAAAGCAGCTTTATTATTCTTCTGAAATCAAAAGTGGGGAAAAGTATATATCTTAATTAGAAAAAGAAATCACAAGCGGTTGGAATATAGACACAAAAAAGACAAAAGGACAAAAAAGGAGAGGAATTCACATTATTTTTAAATACCAGGAGGACATAAAACTTAGATAATATGCTTCATGCCAAAAATGGAAAAACGAGGACAACTAACTTCACATGTAATCTGAGATTTTCAAAGGGTTATCTGTGTCCTCATTTAGCATTCACAAACTCAATCTGCCAGACTACATTCAATTCAATTATTCTCAAGAATGAAGAAAAGTTAACATAAATCCACAAATAGAAAAGTAGTCGTTTCTCTTCCTCTATTAAGTGGTTTTTTTAAAGTTATTTACAGGGTGAGAGATATAAGTGGGGCAGGTCCATGGGGAAAGAGAGGAGGAGGGAGGGGAACCAAGTGGGGATGAGTGGGGGCAGGGAGGGTCCTGAGCAACAGGAATGTGGATGAGTGTGGTGCGGGAGACAACTCCCAGGGATCCCAGAGATCCCTAAGAGCTGGCCTTCCTAAAAGCACTCCCCTGTCATCAACATTAAGGTAACATAAGAAACCTTTGAGGGGCACCTGGGTGGCTCAGTGGGTTAAAGCCTCTGCCTTTGGCTCAGGTCATGATCCCAGCCTGCTTCCTCCTCTCTCACTGCCTGCCTCTCCGTTTACTTGTGATCTTTGTCTGTCAAATAAATAAATAAAATCTCTAAAAAAAAGAAACCTTTGATAATCACACCACGCCAGTGGACAGAATCCCTTCCCAGAATACTTAAAAAACACGAGGAAAAACCTCAAAAGGAAAAGCCACATTTAAAGTGAGTTACCTTGTTACTCACAAGGTAACAGGAACAAAAGTACAATAAATGCTTTCAAAGATTTCTTGGTGAACCCCACTGCTTCACATTCCTCAGGATGCTGCCAACACTGAGGCACTCAGGGGTTCCTCCACCAGCACAACCTGCCCACCTCCAGTTTTTCATATAGAAGCTGTCTGTCTTGACTAGTGCTTTTCCTTTAGCCGCCTCAGAAACAGATCTACCTCAGAGAAGATCAAACGTCTTATTCCCTAAGAATCCTGCCCCAGCAGACAGCATTCACTATATTCCAAAAACTAATGGTACTCATAATTTTTTCCTTTTGCCCATTTCCTAAGATATCTTTAGCAAAGAATGTGCTTAGGAATAAAAGATAATTACGAAAGCTTTTGCTATTACAAGGGGAAATGTTTATAAAGTTGGTAGCATTAATTTTTTAAGCCTGACTTTATGTTTCATGTGTATGAAATTTTATGGTACAGCTAAGATGAAGAGACAAGGAAACTCTGTGGCATTGTAACTCCCTTCCCTCCCAACACACACCCCACAATCCCATTCAATGCATTTTGTTCAAAATTAAGTATTTCCACAGTTCACGCACATACCTCAATGAGCTCATCTCTCTGTCGAAGGCCTTCTTTAAGTTCATCCATCTTATGCTGCAGCACACTACACATATGTTTCTGCCTTTCTAACTCCTGTTAATAAACAAATGATACAGCTTATACAGCTAAAAGCACACAACAAACTGGCATGTCTACAATACACTAATACCGAGGCTAAGACTGACTTCCAGAAATACACTTGGACTTCCCATGCATAGTAACTTAGAAAAATTCTGTTTCTATGGAAAGGTTCAGAAAATTAACATTTTTCATCTCCTAGGAGTATATATCTAGAAAAGCCAGACTAATTAATGGCAAAATTACTGAGAACAATGAGAAGACTTAATAAAGTAACGTTATAAAATTAATAAATAAAATCCAATAATCTTCATAAATATAAATAAAATATAGAGAGAAAATATAATAAACACAATATCAAAAAATAAAAATTTAAAAAATACATGTGTAAACTTATAAGAAATACCCAAAATCAATATGAGGAAAATCACATAAAATATTCCTGAGGGACAGACAAGTAGGACTGAATAGAAAGGCATATTATCTTGGATAAGAAGACTTAATATCATAAAAATGTCAGTTCTCCCCCAGATTAATCTATACATTTAATGCTGTCCAAATAAAAATACCACTAGGCTTTTTTTCTCATCAGAACTTGAAAAAATGATTATAAAGTTTATTTGGAAGAAAAACACAAGAAAAAACAGCCAAAAAAAAAAAAATACCAGTAAAGAAGAAAGCTAGCCTTACTAGACATAAGGCCTATATAATTAAAACAATGTTTGTAAGGGCTTATGAATACAGATGAAAGGAGCAGAAGAGAAAATCCAGAAATACACCCAGTTACACATGCAAATATTTTAAGCAAAAACAAAGCAAAATGATCATCTCCAATCAATCAGAAAAAATAAGAGTTTTATGCTAGTGAGGCTGGAATAACTGGATATCCAAATGGAAAAAGGAAATTGGAAGCACACCTCACAGTATACACCAGGACAAATTTCAAATGGATTGGCAGTATATGGAAAGAAGGGAGAAAAAAAGAAAAGGAAAGAAGGGTACAGTTACTAGAGAAAAAAATGATAACAAAGAGTAGGAAAAAAATGTTACTAAAAAATGACCTAAAAATCTACCAGCAAGGAAGGGAAAGGGGTAATAAGTTAGACTATATAGAAACTTTTGAATGGCAAAAGGCACTCTAAACAAAATAAAAACACAAATGATAAGCTACGAGAAAATAAATTGCAACTTGTTATTGTCTCTCTATATAGAGCCTCTAAAATCAAAAAGAAAAAAATAATACTATATAGAAAAATAGTCTAAAGAAATGGACAGTTCACAGAAAAAGAAACAGAAATCACTCTAAATATAAAAAGATGATCATAGGGGCACCTGGGTGGGCTCAGGGGGTTAAGCCTCTGCCTTCGGCTTGGGTCATGATCTCAAGGTCCTGGGATTGAGCCCTGCATCAGCTCTCTGCTCAGCAGGGAGCCTGCTTCCTCCTCTCTCTCTGTCCCTGCCTCTCTGCCTACCTGTGATCTGTCAGATAAATAAATAAAATCTTAAAAAAAAAAAAAGATGATCATATTAAAAGAACAATAAATTAAAACTGTATGTCTCACTTAAACACTAGTTGAAGTCCAAAAACTTGACAACGTATTCAGGAAAATATTATCGGGAAGGAAATAGGCCCTCTTGTACATTTTAGTAGGAATCCAAAATGGTATAACTACTACAAAGGGGAATCACAGTATCCAGCAGAGTGACCATGCCTTTTGACCAATGAACCCACTTTGATGACTCCCCTAGCTCTCCCGGCAAAAATGCAAAAAGACTTATGAAATACATCATTTTTGCAGGACTATTTTTAACAGCAAAAGACTGTAAACAATTCTAATGCCTATTAATCAGGAGCTGGTGGAACAAACTACAGCACATGCACACCACCAGATCCCAATGTAGTAATGCCAAAGAACAAAGAAGACCACAGTCACAAGGCGATAAAGAGCAAGGTGTGGACTAGTATTTATTGTGTGCTACTATCTTCTAAGAAAGGGGGGATAAAAAGATGTATTTGTATATATATTTTTTCAAATAGCAAAATATATCTATCTTAAGTTAAAAAATGGAAGGCTAAAGCATTTAATTAAAAAATCCCTTCAAGAAACAGGGATGAACAGAGATGGAAGACTGACTTCTTTGATATATTTTCTTTGTTCATTTGACTTCAGATATATGTAAGTATCTTATGTAATTATAAAACACAATTAAATTCAAAAAGCAATTCGTGATGGAAGCAACCAAGTGTCCACAGACAGATGATCAGATATACAAAATGTGATATATACATACACCGGAATAATATTCAGGAAGGAAATTCTGACGCACACCACAACACAATATGGATAAACCTTGAAAGCATTATATGAAGTGTAATAAGACAGCCACAAAAAGTAAAAAACTATATGATTTCACTTCTATGAGATCCCTAGAGTAGCCAAACTCAGAGAGAGAGAAAGTAGAATGGTGTTTGCCAAGAGTTGGGTGGGAGGGCAGGAATTGTTATTTAATGAGTACAGAGTTCTGCAAGATGAGAAAGTTCCCATTGCACAACAATGTGAATATACTTGATACCACTGAACTGTCTGAGCTGTAACACCTTAAAACGGGTAAGATGGTAAATTCTGTTATACTTTTTATCATAATTAAAAGCAAAAATAATCTAAAGATAAACATTTTTAAAATGGGGCGCCTGGGTGGCTCAGTTGGTTAAAGCAACTGCCTTCAGCTCAGGTCATGATCCCAGAGTCCTGGGTTTAAGCCGTGCATTGGGCCCCCTGCTTAGTGGGGAGCCTGCTTCTCCCTCTCCCTCTGCTGCTCTACCGACTTTTATCTCTCACTTTTTCTGTCAAATAAATAAATAAGATCTTTTTTAAAATAAATAAACAAAAAAAAATTTAAAGCAATTCCTAAGTATCAAAAATAAAATGCACTGAGTCTAATTATATATCCAGTTAGCAGCATAAGCACACAGAAACTATTTTGAGTAACTTTTAAAAACAATGGTTGGACTATACATAGTATAGCAGCAAAATAACAACCAACCAGAACAAAACAAAAAACTTTTAACTATTTTCAGTAATTATATCACTTGTGGAGACATTGGTATTGCTATTCTGAGCACTGTGGGATAGAGCAAAGAGAACAGAATATAACATAATTACTATCATCCCCAGTGACTTTGAGAACTAGCAGTGGGAAAACGGAGATATACATATGTAGAACAGCATAAGGAAAAATGCCAGAGTCCTGAACTTGAACTAGAACTACCAGAATAAACTCATATTTTGACTTTAAAAACAAAAAAGTACCCCACATAAATATTTCCCTGATACACCCACTAAGAAGGCCTTTATAAACAGTGATGATCTCGGTGGCAAGAGCTCTCCAGCACCCATACCGCCCCACTACAAGAACCAAGGCTCCTTGGACAAACAGCTCCAGGTTTGGAGCAGGAAATGTACCAGATGAGCCTGGAACACTTTCTTGTGCTAGACAGAATTTATCCAAAAACAAACAAACAAACAAACAAACAAACAAAAAATCATGTCAAAATTACTTGGGGGGCGCCTGGGTGGCTCAGTGGGTTAAGCCGCTGCCTTCGGCTCAGGTCATGATCTCAGGGTCCTGGGATCGAGTCCCACATCGGGCTCTCTGCTCAGCCAAGAGCCTGCTTTTCTCTCTCTCTCTTTCTCTCTCTCTCTCTGTCTGCCTCTCTGCCTACTTGTGATCTCTGTCAAATAAATAAATAAAATATTAAAAAAAAAATTACTTGGAAATCAACCTGAACACGTTCATATTACTTAAAGGTTGAACAATCTGAAAATCAAAAGAATAAAAGCTAGGGGCACCTGGGTGGCTCAGTCATTAAGCGTTTGCCTTCAGCTCAGGTCACGATCTCAGGGTCTTGGGACAGAGCTCCACATGGGGCTCCTTGCTCAGCAGGTAGCCTGCTTCTCCCTCTCCCACTCTCCCTGCTTGTGTTCCCTCTCACTATATTTCTCTCTGTCAAATAAATAAATAAAATCTTTAAAAATATAAAATAAAATAAAAATTAAAAAAAATAAAAGCTAACATGAATTCAAATCATCAAATGCTGGTATTCTTGACTTCATAATGATATTTTTTAAAAAAATTTTCAAGTTGTATCTGATAAGGGACTTGTATCTAGAATATATAAATTCTTGCAACCAATAATAATTTTAAAAATCTAATTTTAAAATAGGCAAAAAAGAGAGCCACCTGGATGGTTCAGTCAGTTAAGTGTCTGCCTTCAGCTCAGAGCATGATCTCAGGGTCCTGGGATGGAGTCCCATATCAGGCTCCCTGCTCAGTAGGGAGTCTGCTTCTCCCTTTCCCTCTGTTCCACCCCCTGCTAGTGCTCTCTCTCTCACTCTCTTTCTCTCAAAAAAATAATAAAATAAAATAAAATCTTTAAAAAATAGTAATAAAAAATAAAATGGGCAAAAGATCTGAATAGCTATTTCTCCAAGGGAGATATATGAAGCATATGAAAATATACCCATAATTATTAGTATTCAGGAAAATGCAAATCAAAACCACAGCTGCTAGGAAGGTTGTAAAAAGAAAAAAAGTCAGACAATAGTAAGTGTTGGTGAGGGTGTGGTGAAATCAGAACTCACATACACTGCTGGTGGGAACGTGAAATGGTGCAGCCACTGTGGAAAATGGCCTGGCATTCCTCAAATGGTTCAATATAGAGCTGCCATATGATCCAGCAACTAACTCCCTTCCCAGGTACACACTTAACAGAAAGGACAACATACGTCCACACAAAGATTTATACACCAATGTTTACAGAAGCATTATTCATCACAGCATGTGCATCAGCACACAAATGAAAAACAAAATGTGGTATACCCACCAAATGGGAGAGTATTGGGCCATAAAAAGTAATGAGGTAGTGACCCACACTACAATACAGATGAACATCCAAAATAGTTAAGCTAAATAAAAGAAGCCAGTCTAAAAAGCCAACCTCATATTCGGTGACTCCACCGACTGTAAGTTTAGAATGGGGAAATTACTACAGAGACAGAAAGCAGACGAGTTACTGAGGGCTGAGGGGGCAGGAGACAGAGCAATGACAGCTAAAGGATACAGGGCCTCTTTCTGACACGACCACAGTACTCTAGAACTAACTGGGATGGCTGCACATAATGTGAATATATAAAAGCCCCTGAATTGTACTTTTAAATGGATGAAGTAGATGGTATATAAATTTTATCTCCAATCCATTTTAAAGTAATACAAGAAATATAAAACAGTAATGATAAAATTAGTATATCCCATTTTCCAACCCCTGATCAACTAACAGATCGAAGCATCTAGCAACAGCACTGTAAAAAGAAAGAGCCACACATCAAGGCCTCCTGCCAGATGATAACCCATAACCCAAGAAGTAGACTTGCCAAAAATGCTGCACTTTTGTTTGGTTAAGCCTCTAAACCTCATTACCTGTTTACAGAAAAGACAGAGGAAAAGGGAACACAATAAAGACACCACAGGGATGAAACAGCAAAATCTCTAAGGCTGTCGGAAACTGTCTTTGACACACAAATTGCAAGGGAGGAAAAAAAAAAAGAGAGAGATGAAGGGAAAGCTATAAACACAAAGAAATTTAAAAGACATGACAACTAATTTCAACTTATGAAACTAATCTGGATCCTCAGGGGGTTTTTTCTGGGTTTTTTGTTTTGGTTTGGTTTGGTTTGGTTTTTTGTTATTGTTGTTGTTTTTGCTTTTAAGTGTAAAAAAGAAAACCACTTAGGACATTTGAGACAACTGAAATTTTAACAATGGTTGGATATGTAGTACGAAGGAATTATTCTTAATTTTTTAGATTCCTTCTATCGTTTAGAGAGTCTTACCTAAACTCTTTTTAAATATGAGGTACTGAGGGGTGCCTGGGTGGCTCAGTCGGTTAAGCATCTGCCTTTGGCTCAGGTCATGATCCTGGCGTCCCAGGATCGAGCCCTACACGGGGCTCCCTGCTCAACAGGGGTCTGCTTCTCCCTCTCCCTCTGCTCCTTCCTGGCTCGTGCTCACTCTCTCTCACTCTCTCAAATAAATAAATAAATAAAAATCTTTTTTTTTTTTCTTTTGAGTTACTGAGGTCTTACCTCAAAGAACAGGAGTAGGGGAAGTAAATGGACAAAACTGGCCATGGGTTGATGGCTGAGGGTAGATGATGGCTTTAGGAGGGTTCAGAATAGTCTGCCATTTTCTGTATTTTTAAAAACTCTAGGGGCGCCTGGGTGGCTCAGTGGGTTAAGCCCACTACCTTCGGCTCAGGTCATGATCTAGGGGGTCCTGGGATCAAGCCCCGCATCGGGCTCTCCACTTAGCAGGGAGCCTGCTTCCCCCTCTCTCTCTGCCTGCCTCTCTACCTACTTGTGATCTCTGTGAAATAAATAAAATCTTCAAAATAAATAAATAAATATTCTAATAAAACATGTCTTTGAAATCTCAGATAAGCTTTAAAAAAAGGAAAAGAAAAAGAATCCACTACTAAAATTAATAGCTATTAAGAAAATACTATACTTGGGGCACCTGGGTGGCTGTTGTTAAGCGTCTGCCTTTGGTTCAGGTCATGATCCCAGAGTCCTGGGATCAAGCCCTGTATCGGGCTCCCTGCTCAGCATGAAGCCTGCTTCTCCCTCTCCAACTCCCCGTTTGTGTTCTCTTTCTCGCTATGTCTCTCTCTGTCAACTAAATAAATAAAATCTTTAAAAAAAAAAAAAAAGAAAGAAAGAAAATACTATACTTGAGACATCCTTAATCAGGCATTCATTCGTCCCCAGAGTAAGTATAGAGACAATATTTAAAATGTGGTATTATAATCCCAGCAGGAAGCACTGAAGACATTTTGAAAAATTGTATTAATACCATTGTTGTTATAATTGAATGGTCCTTCTCTACCCTTTCCTTCTGAGCTATAATAAAACATACCTGAGTGCCCGACCTCTCTGTAGGTCTCTGAAAGTGAATATTCTACTGCATGAGGCAGTATCTATTAGGGGCACCTGGGTGGCTCTGCCAGTTGAGCAGCCAAGTCTTGGCTGACTTCTTATAAGTGCTGAGCACACACTGATATACCATTATTACCTAAAGTCCACAGTTTACATTAAGGCTCACTCTTGGGATTATATATTCTATGGGTTTTGACAAAAACAATGTATCCACTCATATAGTATCATTCAGAATACTATCACTGCCCTAAAAACCCTCTATATTCTGTCTATTCATCCTTTCTTCCCCGAAGCCCTTGACAAACACTTCCAAACACTTTTTAAATCTGACCAAAACAGACTGGAATGAGCATTTGCAGTCCTCAAGGAAAAAAATCCCCATTAGAGTCTACAGTATTAATACCAGTCCCTTTAAGGTTGTGTTAACAGCTTCTCTCCCTTCAGATTACTGATGTTTCTAACAACTCACCAATGCATACTTCCTAAATTGTTTTCTGGGTTTTTTATTTTTGCAACGTAGTCACAATTCATTTTTTTGGCAGTACTATCCTTTTGTCCTCTGCTTGGACTGACATCAACACTTTAAAAAGTCCAAATCCAATAAGAGAACCCAATTTGTTTTCTGCAGTTGTCAAAGGGCAAATCTGAACCTTGCACAGTGCCTTTTATTTTCCATCTGCACATTTTAACAATGTAACTTACAAACCTCTAAAGAAAACATCTGTTGACTTCTGACCTATGTCTCCATCCTGCTGTTTTTAAATAACTGGTTAAAAACTTCTCTCCCGTCATTTAGAAAACAGATTATCTTGAAAAATGATAGAAAAGAAAAAAGTGAACCATCTCACTGAAAGTCTTCAGAGCTTTGTGGCATTCCAGCCAGTTAAAACAGGAAGAAATAAATAATTCACTGTAATTATCCCAATTAAGAGATAGCAAATAAAGATAAAACTTGAGTTGTAGTCAATCTTCAGAAAATGAAGGAGGCCATAAGTTTTTCCTTAAGAGAATTAAGTAGATTTTATAAAAATTTAAAAAGGAAAGTATTTTAAGACCTGAGAGCTCATGTTTGTCAACTTCCATGGATCAATCCATTTCAACTAAAGCTTCAGTTCTAGGTATGATGCACTCTTCCATCAAGCCCAGCATCCCCGAAATGGCAAGTTCTAATTTTCTGGCCCAGAGAAAAGGATGATACAAGATGCACAATTACCTTTGATTTTTCTTCATTTTCTCTATAAAATTCTGCCATCTGTTCCTCCTGTTCTTCAATAACATCTTTGAGGGTGTCTACCTGGTAGATCAAATTGTTCTTCTCATTGTCTAACTGTGCGTTGGAAACCATGGCTTTCTTGTATTTTTCTTCCACTTCAGACAAAGACTCCTAAATGAAAGTCACAGCCATCAGCCTGATATCTAAAATATGTTCATCGTTTATATGCAGTATAACAAGAAATATAGCACTGGCACGAACACATGAAGATGCATTTTTGCAAAATGCAAGCGGCTGGGGGAACACCTGGTTTAGTAACATGCACATGAAACAGAGGATGGTAATAAGCCAATTATGCCAGGATAAAAACTTTATATGCTCTCTGCTATCCAAGAAAACAAAATCAAGCAGCAGTGCAGCCTCTGAAAGAAGAAAAGGTATGCAGACCACATATATTTGTGAAAAGTCATTAAATGAAAAAGCATCAGTGTTTTCAGAAATGTTACTCTTGTTTTTAACAACAAGCTGTTTGGTATTCAGAATGCAATGATAGAACAAAATACAACCTCTCTTCACACAAGTAAACTTTATTCTCGTTTGAATTTTGCTACTTTCCAGACATCTGTTTTCAGTACTTTCTTGTTCTGTATAATAATGCTAATGTAAAGGCATAAGCATTTTTTCTAACAATTATTGAAATTCTGGTCATTCTTACATAAGCAAGCAATAAAAAAATGATTAAAAAAAGAGCAAAAACAACAAAAAGAGCAATAACAAAATGCCTGAACTGTTATCTAATTCAAACTTTTCTGCTTAAAACAGCTTACAAGTCTATTTTTTTTTACAAGTCTATTTTTTAATAACTATCTAATTTGGTTTGATTACTACTATCTAATTTGGTAGATTATTACTACCTACTAACAGTTTTTAAGGCTAAAAAGAAAAAACATTTTGGAGCACCTGGGCGGCTCAGTTGGTGAACAGCTGCCTTCAGCTCAGGTCGTGATCCCAGGGCCTTGGGATCGAGCCCCACATCCGGGTCCCTGCTCAGTGGAGAGCCTGCTTCTCCCTCTCCTTCTGCCCCTACCTCCTGCTTGTGCTCTCTCTCACTCTTGCTCTCTCTCACTCTAACTCAAATAAATAAAATCTTAAAAGAAAAGCATTTCACATAAAAAAAACTCATTACTTTTAGAAATAAATTTTAAAAATACTAATGTTTGTATCAACATGGATGGGACTGGGGGAGATTATGCTGAGTGAAGTAAGTCAAGCAGATAGAGTCAATTATCATATGGTTTTGCTTATTTGTGGAGCATAAGGAATAACACAGAGGGCATGGGGAGATAGAGAGGAGAAGTGAGTTAGGTGAAATCAGAGGGGGAGATGAACCATGAGAGACTGTGGACTCTGAGAAACAAACTGAGGGTTTTGGAGGGGGGCTGGGGGGATGGGTGAGCCTAGTGGTGGGTATTAAGGAGGGCACGTATTGCACAGAACACTGTGTGTGGTAGATAAACAATGAATCTTAGAACACTGAAAAAATAAAATTAAATTTAAAAAATACTAACGTAAATGTTCAACAAACCAAGATCAAAGATATAGAACTGACAGTCCAAAACCCTTACATTTGTGATCAACTGACTCTTGACAAGGGTACCCAAACAACTCAATGGGAAAAGAATAGTTTTTCAACAAATGGTGCTGGAACAGCAGGATATCCACATGCAAAAGAATAAAGTTGATTCCTACATCACACTGTACATAAAAATAACCTCAAAATGGATCAGAGACCTAAATGCAGGAGCTAAAATTCTAAAATTCTTCAAAGAAAACATAGCGCTAAATCTTCATGAGCCTGGAGAAGACAGGAGTAGGTTTCCTAGATACAGTACCAAAACTATTATCAATGGAAGACTTCATCAAAATTAAAAACTTTTGTGGCACAAACAGTACCATCAAGAAAGCATTAAAAGAAAAAAAAGACAACCCACACAATGGTAGAGAATATTTGTAAATCTTATATCTGATTAGGGACTTGTACCCAAAATATATAAAGAACTCATAACAACACAATAAAAAGACAAGAATTCAATTTAAAAATGGGTGAGGATCTGAATAGAAATTTCTCCAAACAGGATATGCAAATGACCAATACGTGCATGAAGATGGGCACTACATTGTTAATAATTAAGAAATGCACATCAGAACCACAATGAGAGGGGTGCCTGGGTGGCTCAGTGTGTTGGGCCTCTGCCTTTAGCTTGGGTTGTGATCTCAGGGTCCTAGGATCAAGTCCCACATCAGGCTCTCTGCTCAGAGAGCAGCCTGCTTCCCTCTCTCTCTGCCTGCCTCTCTGCCTACTTGTGATCTCTCTCTGTCAAATAAATAAATAAAATCTTAAAAAAAAATAAAAACCACAATGAGATGCCGCGTCAGACTTACTATGATGGCAATGATTAAAAAAAAAAAAACAGAAACAATATTAACAAGTGTTGGTGAGGATGTGGAAAAACTAGAAGCCTCATACATTGTTGGGGAGAATGCAAAATACTGCAGCTGCTTTGGAAAATAGTTTGACAATTCCTCAAAATGTTAAATATATTGTTACCCTATGACCCAGTGATTGTCTTCCTAGGTATCTACCTAGGAGAAATGAAAAGGTATGTCCATACAAAAATGTGTACACAAATGTTCACAGCAACATTCTTCATAACAGCCAAAAACTGGAAACAGCCTAAATGTCCATCAACTGACACATAAGCAAAATGCGGTAAATCCATATATTGCAATAGTAACCAGTTGTGAAAGATAGACAGAAAGGAAGGAAGAAAGGAAGGAAGGAAGGAAGGAAGGAAGGAAGGAAGGAAGGAAGGAAGGAAGGTTGGTTGTTACAACGTGGATGAATCTTGAAAACATTATACCAACTGAAGTGAATCACAAAAGACTACATATTATATGATTCCTTTTATATGAAATGTCCAGAATAGGCAAATCCACAGAGACAGAAAGTAGACTAGTGGTTACCCAGGGCTGGGTGCGGAAGAGGAAGGGTGAGGAATGACTGCTAATTAGTACAGGGCTTCTTTCTAGGGTAATGAAAGCATTCTAAAACAGGGTTGCGGTGATGATTGTGCAACACTGTGACTATGCGAAAAACCACTTGAATGGTGTACACTTTAAATGGGTAAATTTTACAATATGTGAAGTATATCTCCATAAGGATACACACACGGTAAGAATGCTTCACAAACGGGGCACCTGGGTGGCTCAGTGAGTTAAAGCCTCTGCCTTCGGCTCAGGTCATAATCCCAGGGTCCTGGGATCGAGCCCCGAATCGGACTCTTTGCTCCGCAGGGGGCCTGCTTTCTCCTCTCTCTCTGCCTGCCTCTCTGCCTACTTATGATCTCTGTCTGTCAAATAAATAAATAAAATCCTAAAAAAAAAAAAAAAGAATGCTTCATAAACCAGGGCTGTATTAATAGGCAACATTTATACCACAACTGGGAACAAATATAACCCAAATAAAAAATAGAAGCAAAGTCATTGTATAATGGTTTAAATATAGTGGGATCCTAATATAATACAGAATTTAGAATGATTCTGATCCCGAGAGGGGCTAGTAGCATTAAAAAAAAAAGTTTTCCTCACAGCTCAGTCCCACAGAAGATGAGACATAACTGCATGAACATCAGAATCTTAGATAGCTTCACAATAGATGCAAAAACACAATATTTACAATAAATTTGATGTAGCAGTTATGGCATGTACCTTCTTTGAACAACAGACCATGGAAGATGGTTTTAAATTTATGTCAAGATAGTTTTAATTATTTCAATCTAGCTTACATAGTGGTATCTATTAGGAATTAGTTTCACGTAAATGTGTCTAAGGCAGTGATTTTGCAACGTAGACTCTATAGACTAGCAGCAACAGCATTAGGGTAAACGTGCAAATTTTCAGCCACATCCCAGACCCACTGAATGAGAAAATCCTGGAGTAGGGTCTGGCCCCCTGTGATTTAACAAAACCCCGGTGGTTCCGCATGAAGGCTAAAATGAGGAAAAGCACCCAAAGACTGCCTCAGTTAATCAAGAACAAAGTCATAAGCCATGACCCATTATCCTTTTTTAATAGGATACATTCACACCATTGCGCTTGATCACCGATCAGACCATTTTTTAAGCAATTTTTCTTCCACTTAAAAAAGTCATTTCAAGGATAAATATAACCTGAAGTCAAGCTCAATTATATGGTGACCAGGAATTATGAAAAGGTGGGGGGTTGGGGAAAAAAACGGAGGTGTGGGTAGGATGGATGAAACAGACAAGGAGATTAAGAGTACACGTATCATGATGAGCACTGGATAATGTAAAGAATTCTTCTATCATGTTGTGTACCTAAAACTGATACAGCACCATATGTTATATTTCAATAAAATAAACAAACATAAAAATAAATAAAATGCATCTCTTCTAAATGAAAAAAATAAAGCAGGATACACCACTGTATGTCACAATGTAATTTTTCCTTTACTCTGGATATGCTTAAAACTTGCACTGAACATGGATATATTTAATGTATTTCTTAAAGTTTTTCTTAGCATGGTTATCATTTATGTGAGCAACATTAGGTCTTGCCTTTTTTCTCTTAAAAAAAGGGGATCTTGTATCTGTTTGGTCTCAAATAAATTTAATCTGTTCTTCTGTATCTTTCAAAGAATGTAATAAATGGTAGATCTAAAATGTAAGGAAAAATGTTTTAAATAAAATAAAAAGCAAGTAAGAAGGCCTCTGAATCACTTGCCTGCTTTCCTGATACATATTTTCAGTATGAGTGTATTTACTTAATATATAGGATTTGTTCCCTTGATCCAAGGTATTTCCAAAAGTCTTGAAGTTTAGAGACATTAAAACTGAGCACATCTGCATACTACCTCTGTAATTCTATGTTTACTGATAGCCTTACACTGCTGTATCAGCGGCATCCACACTACCTTCACAGACACTCTCCATAGGACTTCCTACCCTTTTTGGTCCTGAGTCTTAACTGTTAGTTCCTTACAGGCAATAACCATCCACATGAAGCTTCTGACTGGTAACTGAGCTACTTCACATCATGCCAGGAAAGCTGATGAAAGCCTTGCCCATTAGGCCTATGCTTCGTCCTTTGGGCATATCCTGAATCACCTTCCTGAATGCCTTACTCACATGATTTTAGAGGACTGATGTGTATTTTTCTATTTCAAATAGGGACATGAACGTGTTCAGGAAAACTTTTAGTTTCCTCATATTAGGTTTGAACTTCATAATAAAACATGGGGAAGAGCATGGATAACCCAGGACAACTAAACTGTCTGCCTCACTTGGACACTTAAATATTGAAAACTGGGTAGCCTTCCTTGCTTGGAGAAGATTTAGGCCCATTTAAATTTACCTCCAAATTCTTTAAAGCACTAAATCTGTTTAATTCTTTTTGACCTATAGTTTAAAAAGGGAAAAGAAGAATCAAAACAAAAACACAGGCTTCCTACCTCAGGGTCCTTCCTCCAAAAGAAGTATATATAATAATACACTTGTAGATGTTTTCTTCCTCCTGTTTTTAATACTGACTGAATTTGGTGACAGAAATAGGCAATACTCTCTCATTTAGCATGGAAGAATTTTAAGGTCTAATTTTCAATTTTAAAAAAATGTGTGGGTATACACAACATACACACACACACACACACACACACACACATTCAGAATAATTTTTAAGAGTTTGCCCAATTGGATTTTGTATGGCTAAGATATAAGGGACATGCAAGAATTTTACAAGGTTTAAAAACTCAAAGATATAATTAATATCTTTTACTGAATATTCCAAAAACCATACTAAACATTTAGACATAAGCAGAGACTGAAAGTTCACCTTTCCTATGCATTGCAGGTTAAGCACATGCTTGAAAGACAAACACTGTTAGTAAAGCTCTGTGCACTGAGGTTAACAGGACTTGTGAAACCAATATTACCCAACCCTTCTACGTACAGATATAGCATGCTTGGGCTGCAGAATGGGCCCTGATACCTTTAGTTCTTTAAGCCCTTGCATGTATCTCCCTTCTACATCCTGTATCTGGTCCTTAAGGTCATAGATATCCTGCAGGACATAGGAATGAACCATTGCATAAAACCATGCACAAACATATCTCAAGTCTCAAAGATCCAGATGAAAATGTGAACTACTTTTGCATATTCCAGTCTAAAAGCAGAGAAATCAAAGTATACAAGCATAACTGCCACTCCAAACCATGGAAGAGGGCAAACAGGTCAGGGTATGTGGGGCTGGAGAAGGTCAGGAGTAATCAGCTAAAGTGTTCAATATTTTCTTGGCATTAACATGTGTTGAAACAGCTTTAGCAAAGGGGGGTGTATATGGAAAAAAGATGTATAAATTATAATACTGATAACATGTAATATTAAAAATTTTATAAATCATTTAAATCATTTTTAACATAATGCTTCACCTAAGAACTAGTAAAATGCAGTAAATTAATTATAAGCAGGAAATTTTAATGACTCATGCAAAAGTTTTTAAAACTGTAATAAATGGATATGACCAAAGTTGCCTTTTAATGACATGCTTACCAACCACAATTAATTTGGGAGAAAGTAAAGGGAAGGAAGTTCAACACCAACATTTTAAACATTATGTCAAATGAGAGAGTCTATGCTGAGGATGCCATTTAAATGATGAGAAAAGAGCACCTGCTACAAATGTTACCATAATCCTTAAAAGTAAAACAGGTCAAATTTTAAATGGAAAATACAGTTTTCCTTATACCTGACCCTGCTACATACAATCTACTCAGATACTTGATTTAAGGAGAAAATAACTGCTGTGGTTATTTTCCCTAAGTACCATTCTGCAATAGAGATAGCACCAACTCTCCAAGGACAGTGACATACACTTCCCCTGGCCCTCTTCATTCCCTCCTTAGTAGGTTTGTCTGTCTTCTGCTCATTGATTCATTCAACAGACACACATTGAAGGGCTACAAGGAGCTGAGTGTGAGGATACAAAACTCTCACTTTCTTTAAGGAAGTCAAGTCATTCTCTTAAAGAAGCAATAAAAGGAAACAGCAAGCACAAGCTAAGCTGTGAGGCTGGAGAGCCTTGTCCTCCTGTGTTCTGTCCCACTGAAGGCAAGAGTTTATCTTACTCAACTCTTTGAGTAAGTTTAACTTACTCAACCCCCAGCACCTACGCCTGGTACTTAGTAAGAGCTTGGTAAATACTGATACTTGCAAAGTCATGCCATGTCGGCCAGGCGCAGCTCTCCTTCCTCCTGACTGCCACTGCTACAAACGTCGCCACCCTCTAACCACTGGCCTGCTTTTATAGGCTGCCCACCTCATAAGCCAGACTCCTGCTCCAACCCACCGACAATCTGACTCAGTACCCCAGTCCCCACCTCCTCCTCACTGCGTCAGCACCACGGAACCTCCACATTCAGCCTTCCTCCATCGGCACCCTAGGCATTCCTCTCGCCCAATCAGGCACTCTGCTCCTCGGTCACCCTCTCCTTCCTTTGCCTTCCTGTCCTCTCTCTACTGGCTCAAGTCAAGCAATGAAAATAATATTCAAGCCCATCTTTGAAAGAAAACACAACCTCTTAGCCTCCTATCTCTTTCTGCTATTGACTAATCAATTCCAGTATTCTCTTCAGAGCGAGTTTCCTGCATCTTCTTCCATCACAGTTTTGACTTCACTATTCAGCCACAGGGTACTGCTCCCCTCACCTCCAGTGTTTCCTCCAATCTGGGGTCACCCTTTACGAATATAAATCAGATACTCTCAACTCCCCTTTTTAATATCCCACAGTTGCCAGGGGAAAACCAAATGCATCCTAGGCTCCCATACATGAGGCTTTGTGGACTGGGCCACGACTACTTCCTGGTCTGCCCCCTCGCCCACCTCTCCTCCTCACTTCTCATCCTACCCTCAGGCAACTGTAGTATATCAGAAGGTTCTCTGAAGTTCTGAGAAAGGCTTTGCCCTTCAACTATGCCTGGTTCATTTGTATTCTTCCTTCATACCTTAGCTCAGAGTGTGCCTCCTCTGAAAAGCCTTTTGTTACCTCTTTTCCTAGTCCAACATAGCTGACCCATCTCTGAATTGCCTTAATAGCCCTATTCTGGCCATGACCTAGTATCACACAACTTGGTTTTCCTGGTTTCTATCAGTTTGTCTTCCTTATGAAACAGTGAACTCCTGAAGTTCACAGTGTGTTTCACAGCCTGAATCTCTGGGGCCAAGGGCTCAATAAATGTCGAGTGAATGAATGAATGAATGAATGAATGCAATTTTTATTACTACACTTCCCCCATTGCTCAAAAATAGCAGGTTCAGCAAATAGACATTCAAATACATTTTGAAAGTCCTCATTTTTTAAATAAAAATGTTAAAAAGACGGGGACTCAACCCAGGGTACTCAACTCCAGTATTTCTCTTATCCCAAATATCACTACACTGATCATGGAAAATTGAGAGATAAATATATTCAAGCAGCCAAATAATACCATAATGGCTCAAAAGACTAACAATTTCTAGAGTCTGATTCCTTGCATATCCATATATTTTCCATTTAAAATATGGCCAATTATTTCTGAGAGAATCACTTTACATATGTTAACAAGTTTTTTGGCATCTGCAAATTAGCAGAACTCATTCCAATATCATCAAATGTTCAGGAAAGAGAGCAGAAAAATGAATTAACTAATCTCCTTCCTTTCAGACCTGAGTCACATTCTTGAACTATCTTTAACGATTTTTTTTAAAGAACTCATAGTCCTTTTCTTTTTACTAAGTCACATTAAATGTTAAATAGTTCCAGTATACTATAACACAAAGAAGCCAAAAAACAGTTTTGAAAAAGCAAACCGAAGACTGCAGTTTACCCGCAATTCACTTAATGAGGTGTCTGGATCTACTAAGCTGCTGGTGTCTCCACTCCCTCGTCTGGATGAGTTTCCACTTAGAGGGGTTGTTGCTGAGGCAGAATTCCGAGATGAAGGCTGGAGAAAGAGGAAGGGGACACATCTAAGTCTTCTTTCTTTCCAAATACGTTTGCCGTAGAAACTAAAATGGGCTTGGGGTGGGATGTGGATGAGAACGAGCAGACAGTGTAGACGCTGCGGGAAGAAGGTATCCAGAGAAGGGCCCAGGCATACTACGCATAACTTTGTTCACTTCAACACTTTACTGGAATCTAGAATTCATAATAACAAAGGAAATAGTTTGTGTGCAAGTTGTTTTCTAAGTTTATCTTTGCTATATCGTAAACAACACTGGGGGGGGGGTGAGCACATCAGATTAATTTAAAACAGTTCAGGGGGGCACCTGGGTGGCTCAGTGGGTTAAAGCCTCTGCCTTCAGCTCGGGTCATGATCCCAGGGTCCTGGGATCGAGCCCCGCATCGGGCTCTCTGCTCAGCAGGGAGCCTGCTTCCTCTCTCTCTGCCTGCCTCTCTGCCTACTTGTGATCTCTGTCAAATAAATAAATAAAATCTTAAAAAAAAAAAAAAAGTTCAGGACTTATAACTGGTATGCTGATTAGCAGTCCTACTGAGTTCCTAAAGCTGCTCCTTTAGAATCTTTTCTTTTTCTAATACTTGGATAGAGCTGGAAACAAAATTGGCAGCTCGAGCAAATTGTGTATCACTATGAATTTAGACTGCTAGTCCCACAGTTAGTTTAAATGTGAGATTATGCTACTGGATTAATAAATGACACAGACCTACACTGTCCGATACAGCAGCCATTAGCCATGTGAGGCTACTTAGCATCTGACATATGGCTAGTGCAAATTGAGATTTTATTTTTAATTGTAAAATACATAACCAGATCTCAAAGGCTTTGCATGGAAAAAAAGAATGTAAAATATCTCATTAATACTTTTTCACATAGATTACATTGACAAATTTGGGTTAAATAAAATATACTATTTAAATAAATTTTACCTACTTCTTTTAACTGTTTTAATAAGGCTACTAGAAAATTTAAGCTCAACATATATGTGGGGTACATTTGTGGCTTGCACTATATCTCTATCAGACAGAGCTGGTGTATCTTTTTTGGGTATAGCATGAAATTAATCCTGATAATTTCCCAAAGATGACTTTCTAAAAATATTCTAGAAGTTAGAGACTTTAACACAAAACAACTCTTAGAAAAGGATTATTTTACCTCAAAAAAAAAGATTAAGTATGGGGGGGGAACCTTCAGAGTTTGTCACCACCATTCCTAAAGACACTTCATTTTCAGTGTTTAATGGCTTCTTCTCAGGATCAAATTCTAGGGAATGAAAATCGAAAGAGCAGCCAAAAGCTTAAGAAGTGACATTCAAGGAAATAAAATGCAGTGTCTTTTCTCTTCCCAGTGCTTCACATGATTCAACCTCAGAGGAATTTGGGGGGTCAAGGACAGGAAATAGATGAAGAAAGGAAGAGTAGTTCCATCAGTTCAAATGTAGTAAAATAATGAAATAGCAATAGAAATTAAGTTTAATTGACCTTGAGAATCTAATTCCCTTAGGAATTTATGTACTCACCCTTGTGTAATTTTCAGCATACTGTTTGTCAGATTTTTCATCCAACTAGAAAAGACCAGAGATAAAAATCAGTAAAGATGCTTAGCATGCTGGGGGTTTTTGAGGAAAAAAAGAAGTGACCTCATTTGAGTTCTCCAAGTTCAACTGATGTTTGGAACCTAAAAGTAAACAAATTGAAACTGAAATAAAAGTTGAGACACATAAGACAAAATGTCAAGAACTTTAATTCTTATCCTAAGGATGACATGCGGTAAGCAAGCTGTCCTTATGCAGAAGTTCAGAATTTGCAGATTTTCTTTTCATGATATTTGAAACATGTTAAAGAAAAACATGTAAACTTGAGCTTTGGCAATGGAAATATTAACACCAAAAAAAAAACCTTGTACACATGAAAAGGAAAAGACTGGTAAAATCAAAAGCCAAAAACTTTATTATCTAAACATTATTCGGACACAGGACACATAGATTAAGACAAGTACACTTGGCCAAAAAAGTTCAAATTTGATTAAAGCAAGTTAAATATATCATCAAAAAAGATTTCCCCCACAGCTCTTAAGGATTCAGTTCTTTGGCTTTTTTTTTTTTTTTTTTTACTTTTTTAAGCAATACATGCCCATGTGTCAAAAAAAAAAAAACAACCCAGCACAAAAGGGTATGTGAAGTATAAACCTCTCTCCCTAATATACCACACCCAAACCTTCCAATTCTTCATCCAAGGGCAACCAGCCCCCAAGTCTTTAACAAACGCTAAAGTTAGGTCCCAAATATATTCTATATCTTCTTTTTCTCCAAGTTTCAGAGATTAAAGAAACTACTTCATTTTTCTTCTTGGCATTTATTACTCCCTAATCCCATGATATTTATTCACTTATTTATCATTTGATCTCTTTCTCTTTATCGTATGCTCTATGTCTCTATGATCATTTCTGCATTCCTAACATCAAAAATAGCACCTAGCATACAGAAGGATTCACAATTTGCTGGGCAAATGAGTAAATGAATCATACCCCATCTGTATTTACAGACTTACTTCATTTACTTTAACAACAGCATAGTGTCCTATCGTCTGGGCACACCATAATGGAGTTATCCTATGTTCTGCAGATAGGATTAGTGTTTCTTTCATAAAGAGAGGTACCTTAGAGGTCTAATTCCAAACCCTGCCCTTACAGCTGAGGAAAGAGAAATTCAAGAGGTGAAAGATTTTCCTCAAAGTTGAATGACTACTAAACGTCAGGGCTGAGTCCAGATCTCGGGTTTGTGAATCTTTAACCCTGTGTTCATATAATTTACCTGTATATACTGCCCCAATTACCATTAGGGGGAAAAAGTCACAGAGAGATTTAACTAAATGAAAATATATCGAGACTCCAACTCCTAGATCAACCCTCCCAGCCCAATCTAGAAAAAAGATTTTAAAACTTTCCTCAGTTAATTATTAAAACACAAAATGTCATTATTTCTGGCTCTATTCAGATCACTTCATTCTAACTTCCTCATATTTGAAAGTTTTCCTGTTCTTTTTCATTGCCCACATTTATCATGTTCATTTTTTTCCTCTCAGTGTTTAAATAAAAGGTGTTTACTTTATTCTGTAATATAAATACTATCTTGGACTTTGATCTTTTTGCTTTTTATTGTAATACTCTTAAAAAATAATTGATTTTAGTTAACTTTGATTTTTTTAAAAATCACATATAAAATGTTTTTGAAAACAAACCATTACAGTAGTTTTTAATACTGGCAATTATTGTCGCAAAAAGGAATAACCTTCCATCACATTTGTACTAGTAAACACAATGCCTGATACTTAAGAGTGTTATTCTTCAGAATCAAAGAAATACTGTAACTGAATAAAACAGCCATATATTCCTCAGAGTATATCCCACCCCTCTTCTACTAATGAGTTAAACAGAAAAGCAACATTCAGAAACACTCTTCTAGGTCTATCTGAAATCCTGGCTCACAAAACGACCCCCCAAATCCACCTATTTTTCTTAACAGTCAACTTGGAATGATCTTACATTTCAGAAGCTGCATCACTGAACTAGTCCATCGCAATGTTGACTCTATTGCTTTCACGGTCTTCTGACAGATCCCAAGTGTCGCAACCCAAACTGATCATGCGCCAAACCTCAGGGATTGTTAAGGCAGCAAAAAATGCCAAGAGCAGCCATGCCGCAGTCCAGTCATTTGGGCTGCAGTGACTTGGCCAGAGACTCCAGTTCTCACTTCTCAGATTGTGTTATACTATGTGCTGTCTTCCATTTAGACAAAAAGCTACTTTGAAACCTGCTGTTCTAAAAGCCCCAGTGCTCTCTCTAGCAGCCCGGAGCTCTGTACAACAGCTCTGCAATGACACACTAGTTACCATGATGATGACCCAGAGTCTGCCAGATCCTGAAAAGGCTTTTCAATGGAATAATATTTAATCATGCTTAATATATTAAGGTATAAAATAGGGAAAGGTTGGTTTTCAGCTATAGGATGAGCAAGAGGATCTAATGCAAAACATGGTGACTACAGCTGATAAAAAAATGTATAAACAGTGGAAAATATGAATATGTACTAATATATAAAACATTTCTAAGATTAGTAAGTGAGAAATCAGAAAACAAAGACTGCATATACGATATGGTCACAATTCTGTAAAACATGCAAATTAAACTGAGATAGAAACAATACTAAAAGTAAATCAAGTTGCTAAAAAAAAAAGTAAAAAAAAAAAAAAAAACTCAAAACAAAAAAACACTAAGCAAAGCTTCCCCTCCTCTGTCCCCGGCAAATACGGCCCTCGGGACTTAGTCGTTAATGTTAACTATAGCTTATTATTCTCAAAAAGTTTCAAGTAAATATCATGTCATTGTACCCTTAAATAATTAAATAAGTAATTTTCCAATCAAGAAAATGGCTTCTTTGATAGCTGGAACTTGGAAGTCAGCTAACAAGCTTGCAGTATTTCATATTAGTATTAACGTGAAAAGAAGAGCAAGGGAATCTGGGTGGCTCAGCTGGTTAAGTGCTGGACTCTTAATTCCGGCTCATGTCATGATCTCAGGGTCCTGAGATAGAGCCCCATATCCAGCTTCCTGCTTAGTAGGGAGTCTGCTGGAGATGCTATCTCCTTCTCCCTCCCCCTTCCTCCCTGTCCCCTCTGCTAGCACACACTCCTGTGTGTACACTGTCTCTCTAATAAACAAATCAAAAGAAAAGAAGAGCACATGGCAGCAGACTTTATATTCCAATTTGAATGCTTGAGTTCAAAAGTAGTATTTTCCTAAAGGATTTCAAATTATAATACTAGTAAACAAAACCTTAAATATAATCTTTCCCACATTTCAGTGATAAATGCCTTTGCCTTATTTATGTCTGGGACATCTGAAAATGCTTTGCTCTTGACATTAGAGATTATGGATTGTTTCTCTTTAAATCTAAACTCCTTAAATATTTGTTGAAATTAGTACATGTGAGAAATATTTCTTAGAATACATAACTTGTCAAATCCTTGAAACTCCTTGTTTCTTCTTAAAAGAAAGATGTTTATTTATTCTCTGGTTAAAAGGCCCTTTGAACTTCATTTCAGCATATGGCTACTTAGTTTGACAGATAACTTTTCGTTACTAAAATGGTAAAATACAACTGAACCTTTTATATTGAAATAGAAAATTCTAGTTGTAAATACATTTTGAATATGTCATTTAAAAGAGTTGTTTAGAGGGGTGCCTCAGTGGCTCAGCTGATTAGGCATCTCCCTCTTGATTTTGGCTCAGGTCATGATCTTGGGATCATGAGATCAAGCCTCAGTTCAGGCTCTATACTGGAAGAGTGTAGAGCCTGAGCGTGGAGCTGGCTTAAAATTCTCTTTACCCCTCTCCCCTCCCCTTGTGTGCACCCACTCTGTCTCTCAAAAGGAAAACAAGATTTTTTTTAAAGAGTTGTTTAGAAATAAAGACCTGTATCTTGTTCTCATTATACTTTTTTTCTTAAAAGGGTATCAGAGATTTGAGGGCACCTGGGTGGCTCAGTCGGTTAAGCATCTGCCTTCTGCTCAGGTCATCATCCCAGAGTCCTGGGATTGAGTTCCACATCTGACTTCCTGTTCAGAGGGGAGTCTGCTTCTCCCTCTCCCTCTACCCCTCCTCCCCCCTGTTCGTGGTGTGTGTGTGTCTCTCTATCTCTCGCTCTCTCAAATAAATAAAATCTTTAAAAAATTAAAAAAGAATATCAGAGACCTGCTATAATTGAGCTATGCATATCTGATGTATATAACTTTCAGCATGCAGCACCCATTCTGCCAACTCTAACAGTAAATCTAATGTAATATATATGATCAGAAGATAAAGATATTCATATTAAGGCATTTGAATTAACTTAACGTATTTATAGTTTCATTTAATATAGTTATTGGAGTCTAATCCTCTAACTTCTAATGTTATATATGGATGTGATAATATGATCAAAAATTCTGTCTGATGGTTAAAAAAGAAAAACAACCAGAAAAGTGAAGACTGATTCTCTAACCACAGAAGGGAAGGGAGCAATTAATTTTAATAATCTCCTAAAGCAAAAATGGCTGAGGATTCCATTCAGAAATGGTCTATTAACAATCAGTAAAATGAAAGCACATTTACATCCTTTTCCCCAGCCTGATGGATGGGACAAAGGAACAGTGCAGAAGAAAAGACCAGAGGCTAGAGCAATCATAAAAACTGTATAATGAGTTTTGCCAAATGTGGGCCTGGCACCCTTTTTCAGCACTCTTAGTTCAGAAGTTATAAATGCAGCAGAATGTATACATATGTCTGATCCACAATGGGGAAGCCTAAAAGCGTCTTTTAAAATTTTGAATTCATTGTCAGCATTTTAAAATCAGGATATTTCACATAAAAATGCAAATTCCCTAGCTTATCATATCAAAAAGTGGTGTGGGGGTGATCTTACCAAATCAAGTCCACTTTCCATTTATCTACAATGAGCTGCATGGTTACCCTTTAAAAGAAATAATATTAGAAAAAATTCTTGCTCTAGAGAGGCGAACAGCAAATATTTAGGCTTTGCCATAGGGCAAAATTAAGGATATCATATAGGTACTTAGATAATCATGAAAAAAATATATATATAAACCATTAGCTCACAGGCTATAAAATAAGAGGGTGCTGGCCAGATTTGCCAACCACTGCTCTAGAGAGTCTTTTAGGTTATAAGGCGTACAGTGTGATGCTTTGATATAATGATGCATATATATCAAATCATCATGTTATACACCTTAAATATGTATACTTTTTATTTAAAGATATGTAAATAAACCAAAATAACTATCTGGGTAAAGAAAAGAGTTATATTAAATTAGCAGAAGCAGGGAGACTTTTTTTAAACTATCAAGCTTCTCACTACTGTGTAGTTACTAAAATAAATTGCCAAGAAATACATGTAAGGAGGACAGAACCACTATCACTAATTAAAGGCTAACAGAATTCAAAGTTTTTAAGAAAAAAGAGATGTATAAAATAAATTGTTTATATCTACCCAAAAAAAGGCTGCTAAGCGAATCATTAAAATGAGCAATATTTCAGGGGAAAAACTTGGGAGCCAATCTTCCAACTCGGCATACAGATTCCCTGATCTGACAGAGATCAAGACAGGACTGCTATACAGCCAGGTTTGAGACCCAACAATATGGAATACTTAAGGACCACAATTAAAATTATTTTCCAGATTAAAGTCATTCAAAACTAGCTATTTAAATACAACCAGCAATGTGCTAAATATAAATAATATCTCTTCATTCAAAAACTAACTTTTTGGCTAGGAAACACTGTCTCTCACCTGCTTCAAAGTGCTTAAAATCAGACAGCACTGGTCTATGGGCAAAACAGAACTAATTCCAGCAAAGGATAGGAGGTGTGAAAGAGAAAAAGAGGCTATTAGATCAGGCAGAGGGGTATCTGCTGGTTGGAGTTCCTTCATTAAGAGAAATGCCTCGAGGCATCTCTACTGGACAATCTTTCCTAAATTTAGTTCCCAATAAACGTGAAAGCAATGGACAGGCAGTTCTTCAAGATAATGTCATAGTCCAAATGATTAAAATCTATTCAGATTCTTCCCAGTTACTATAAATTAGTGATACTTTACTAAATAGTATTTTCTATTGTTCAACCTTCAAAATCTGTCTAGTACTTTATATACTCACTGAAATAAAAAGGGAAGAAAAATTTTAAGACAGATCAGGAATATCTATATATGGGCTAGGTATTAGGTTTTAAGGAATTATTTTTATTTTTATTAGGTATGATAATGGTAGAGTGAACATGAAAAAGAAATTCTCAAATGGAGATGCATAATGAACTACTGGGAAATACCATGGATCTGCTTTAAAATAATTCAGAGGAAAAGAAAGACATGAAGCAAAACTGGCAGAACACTGGCAGTTGTTGGAGCTGCTGATGGGTTCTACAGGGGAAAATTTTTACAGAAAAGTTTTTGTGTTTTTTTTTTAATCAGAGCATATCAGTATATACATTCCAAAACAAAACAAATAACTATATTTTAGGTTACTGTATTCCAATAAAAATTAAAGCAGCAAATTAAGATCCTAACTTTCAAATAGCTAATGTATTAGCCATTAGTCACAAGGCTGAGACACCACAACCACTCCCATGCAAGACACTCACGCTGGTCAAATCGGGGATACGGACGTCATCCACCTCAGAGACTACACTCCCCCTGAGATTGGAGCGACTAAAATAATCGGCGGTAGAAACCTTTCAATCAGAAAAAATGACATGCTTTAAAGGTTAAGAAAAAAGAGAGGAAAAGGATAAGAACAATGGCATGCAAGGGAAAAAAATACTGTTTTGGTGCTTGATCTAGTATCACGCAATGAGGAAACCACTGCAATGAACCTACTCAAAAAAGTAGAAAAGAAATGTAAAGCGGGTCCTAAAGGAAATCCCAGCTCCCTAAAATAAGCCTTTGTGCACCTTAACTCGAGCTGTAGCCCACAGAGATCATGTAATGGCTAAGGGCTGGCCAAGGCTCCCATGCTGAGCACTTGCATCATCCTCACTAAGAGAGTACTGACCTAAAGCCTCTACCATATTTCAAAAATGTACAGTGCATTATAGCTCTCAACTCTGTTAAGCACATATATGCTCAACACAGCGTTCTTCGCAGGTTATTTACTGCACCTTTTGCCCAATTTCTACACTTCCCTCTTTTTCATATTCCTCAAGACCAGGATCTCTGGGGCAAAATAATGGAAGAACTACACTGGCCCCTTTCTGGTTCCCCTAATCAGTCTTTTCCCACCTGAGACTTTGTCATTGGCCTAGAAAGCTCTTCTCCGGCTCTTCAAGCAGCTGGCTCCTCCCATTTCAAGTCCAGCTCAAAGGTCACTTCCCTTGGGGAAGCCTTCTCTGGCCATCCCATCCAAAGGGAGGCACACCTACACATGCATCCCTCAATGTGCTCTGTCCTATCACCTGTTTTTCTCTTCACAATCCCTGGAGTTACTTCACTTTTCTTCCTTTGTTTATTTGTTTATTTTCTATTTCTTTCACTAGGATATATGCTCCATTAAGTCAGAAATCCAGTATGTCTAGCCTACCATATTATTCCCAGCACTTAATACAGTGCCTCACATATAGCAGGTACTCCATAAACATTTGTCGAATTAATAAGGAGTATTTTTTACCTCACTCATCAGATTTCCTTACCTCAGCTCTGTCTGATTACCTTATTTAAAAACTTTTCCCTTCCAGGAAGGGAATCTGAAAGTCCATCCAGAGACAAAGAAGGCTTACAAGTGTGAAGTTTTGCTAAGGGCTAGTGCAGTCAAGCAATACTATTTTTATTTATAGTAATTATAATACAACTTAGATTTAGATATACCTACTATTTTAATGGTTCCTACTGTCTCAAGAATTTTGTAGTTATTCTCCATATAGTAATTCATTTAATGCATATATATTAAGCTTACCTATAAGGACAATTACTAAGATCCCCATTACAAATAAATTGCCACTAACGCAACTAATAGGTTGTAGAAGTGACTCAAACCCAGGCATCATTACTTTAAAGTACCTGCCTGCCCTTTCCACTCCATCACTCTCCAAAGGGCTTTCAGGTGTTCTGGCTTGTTTTTTCTCCTTCAGCTCTGAGGATGAGCATTAACTGGCTCACCAACGGACCAAAACTGCCTTAATTAGATCACTGCATTTTTGGCAACAAATCTCACAAACACTTGGTGTTCCCCTTTCCTAGGACATCTTCAGGTTTACAGTCATTCACAAAACATGGCTCTTTTCTAGCTCTAAGCTGACATATCATCCTTATCAATGTAATTTTCAAGTCAATTCTCAAATATAGCAAAAACATCATCAGCTCTTTGAAAAACTTCCAACATCATCAAAAGAATAATCTGAAATGACATAATTTGTATTTTGACGTAGCTATTTGTTGCTTCTACAATTATTATGATAGTTGCATTTTTAACCAGAATTTTTTACCAGGATTTCTAAAATTTGCCATCAATGACGCTTAAAAAGTTCTCAGGTCTTAAAAGACGTATAAACTATAAATAATACATCTCAAATTCACAGTGAAGAAAGCAACTCATGGCAACATGATCTGTAATCCATAGTTACAAGTTTTATGCAAAGCGGAGCATTCATTTTGCTGGAGAAACGTTTTTGTTTCTGTGAATTGTGCACATAAATACATGCACATAAAACAGCAACAAAGAATAAAATGTGAAAAATCCTTCAAATACACAAAGACCAGCACCTAAGAGGTGTAAAGAGGCAAGTTACTGATGAAAGCTTCCATAGCCTACAGAGAATACATATTCACAGGGACACATTTTTGAAGGCAAATTATTCATATAAGCTACATTTGAGGAAACTGCTCATTTTTGTCAAATGCAAATTTCACTTTCCAGTAGAGTTCATGGGATCACATATAGGGGGGCAATTTAAAAACCTGTAAGTGTATGAGTTTGCATACAAACCACGCTCACCACACTGTCCCTTCGCCCACAGCTGGCGCGACCAGAAGCTGCAATGCTTGCAGTGTCATCATCGGGAAACTACAGGTATTAAAAGCAGACAATGAAAAACATGTGATGCCACCACAGGTCTTACCTGGCTGTAAGCACGTTAGGCAAGGTTTGGGGAAGCATGCAATTTCTCTCCAAGAGCCTATCGCTGGCACCAGCTATTGTGCACCGTCAGACAGAAAAGTGGCTTCTAAGTGTAATAAACCATCATTGAAAACCAAATGGTATTTCCAAAAAGCACACAGAATAAAATACTACTTTATCTTTTATTTAAGTTACAGAAAAAAAAAGAGGACAGGACTGGAGGGCTAGGGCATAAATAGACCAACAAAAAACAGCTAGGGATTTCATGCTTTTTAACCACTAGGCCCTTTGGGAAGCCCATCAGGGGGTCAACAAGTATACTTAATGCATAAGTTTGGGAGAGAAAAATATAAGAATATCTTCAAGTGAAGTATGTCAAACACAGAATTTCCTACCAGCAAGGATTGAAATGATGATTCTTATTTTCCTTTATTTATTCCTATGCAATGGGTGGAGATATTTCTAACATCACCCTAGAGTTTTCTTCCTATTTCATAAGCAGCAGGAGGCTCATCTTCCATGTGTATAGGTTACCTCTATTCTGACATCACTGAGGAACCATTCTGGCATCACCAAGATATAACTTTGAACCCAACTTGCAAATGAAACAACATGTAGCCAGCACACAAGGACAAGGTTCTACACTTGACTGAAAATATATTACCATGATTTTATTGGCAAGGGGCCATACATTGGTACATTAAAAATGCTACCAGGTCCAAGGATTGCCAAGTGGAATTTTATTACAGAGTGAGGTAAAAGTAAACTTCCTACTTATATCAAAAAGCCTTTATCTCCTAAACATTCCTGTGTACATTTTCGTTAAGAATAGGAGTGGAATTCTTGAGAAGTGCCTCTTGGAAATGGCAGGAGAACAGAGCCCAATATATATGTAAAAGAAAACCCATTTTGGCTCACCTATTCCACTCCACAAAGCAATCTGTATTGACCATTAAGAAACTGCTTTAATAATTTCTCCTATTTTGACACTGTCAAGAATAACAAAGTAGTTCCTAAAGTCAACATTTGCCATTGGAAATGTAAATTAGTATAGTCTTCTTGGTGGGCAATATGGCAATATGCCATCATAATTTAAACATATATACATCATTTATTTATTTTTTGACCCCATCATATATATATAAATATAAATATAAAGTAAATTTCTAATCATTAGAAATTTACTTTATATGAGATCTATTCGTAAGTACACAAAAATATACTTATATACGAAAGTCCACTATGCAAGTGTTTGCTGTAGCAAAAATCTAGCAACCTAAATATCCATCGACAGGGAGTGGGAAATACAAGCTTCCAGTTATATAATGATCAAGTGACGAGGACAAAAGCTACAGCATAGGGAATCTAGTCGATGGCACTGTAATCACATTGTATGGCGACAGATGGAAGCTACACTTGTGGGGAGCACAGCATAATACAGAGTTGTCAAATCACTAGGTTGTACACCTGAAACTAATGTAACCCCACCTTGTGTGTCAACTATACTTCAATTTAAAAACAAAAAATCAAAATAATACCTACCAAAAAATTAATATATCCAAGAAATTGTGAAAAAGAAATGTGCATCCTATGCACTAGTGGGATAATATACTGCCACTAAAAAGAATGTGCTGACACAAAACTATCTCCAAAACGCATTCAGTAGAAAAGGAGACATATGAAAAGGGTCAGGAGACTTTTACTTTGGACTTTCCTTAAGCTAATATTACTTTTATAACTTAAAAAAATGTTTTAATATTCCAGAAAGATTAGGTGATTAGAACTGTCCCAGTTTTGTCTTTTATGTAAACAGTTTTTAAAAGCTGGCTTGTTTTATTACTTCTCCTTTCACTCCATTGACTGAAGTGCTGGCAAGTGAAATGGCTCAATGCAGGAAGCCGAGACGGAAAGGAGAAACATAGGACAATCAACCTGTATAATGAGTTATCACCACTGAAAAGATAAGAAGTTCACATAAAAAAAATACTCATTTTTTAAAACTTCTAAAGGCACTGAAATTTCATTTCAGAAATTATGTGCTAAGTCAAATTCACATAGTAAACACCAATTAGGACAAATTAGTATACTTGAGTTTGGGTACTTAAGGAAAATGATAATCCATGCCAAGAGAGTGAACACACATTCTTAATATTCCGAATTGTGAGCACAGATTAAGGAAACAACCCGAAGTATCTAAAAAGCATGCAAAGAGACCAGACAGCTCACCACGGGACTGCTTCGGGCCGAACTTGCTCTTGATGAGTAATAACTGTATTCAGATGGCTATAAAGTTTCCAAGAAGAAAGGTTTTACAATAATGGCCAGCTCCTTTTCCTGCTGGGGGAATACATTTGTGACCTTGGATCTAAGTGGCCACTGGCTCCCGGGGAGAAGCTGACTGTTACTCCCAGGTCTGGAATTGTACCTCCCTCCCAACCCTCCAGATCTAGTAGCCCTTGGCTGGAGGGTGAGGAGGGGAAGGGGACGCCCTGAGGAGCAATGCTCCCATCCTCTTCCTCAGGGACTAATGAGCCCAAAAAGAAGTTTTTCCGCCTATATTCCTTTCATACTGTGAGCCATGATTTCCAGCAGGCAGTTCCTCACAACTTGGGTGAGAGTCACAACTGGTCAGCTCATGGGTCACAGCTTATAGAGCAATTGCAGGTGAGATTAAATGACTTTTTCTTTGTAAGTAAACTGTGCCCACCTACACACGCCCCCCCATCACCTCCCCCTGTTTGGACTTACAGTTCGAGACCCATAAGGGTTATATAATCCACCATCATACAATGACACCTAAAGAACAGAGGAAATACCGCTCATCTATTTATTCAGGCATCAAAGTTGTTTCGGAAAATGTCACAATTTCTTCACAGTACTCAGTTCCAAAAAAGCATTGTAGAATGGTGTGTCAGGTGAGAACACTCACTGATTGCATAAAGTCCTACATCAGTCCCAAAACTTCAAACTCATACTTCATTTAAAAAGCACCATTACAGTATTTCTTTTCATCATCATGTTATGAAACTAGGAGAAGGAACTTTTACAGATTTATTCTCTCAAAAGAGCGAAATGAGCAAAAATGGAAAGTGAGGGACACACAGCATTTTGCCCATTGGCACAATAAAATGAAACTACAAAGCCTCACATTGCCAGTCTACTCGAACGGGCCACAGCACAACAAAGCAACAGCCTGAAAGCAACCAGCTCACAACTTGCACATTACACAGAGATAACGGCTTTTGCTTTCTAGTCAGCTTGCTTTATTAGACAGAGCCTAGTCTTAACATGGCCAAACCACAGTTGTCCCAAAGAAAAATACAACATCGATGCATGGGCAACCATTTCACAAAGTATAAAGTGTAGTGGGGCCCATGCAAGTTTGTCTTCTCTACGGGAAACCAACTGTAAGCAAGGGCCTACCAATGGCCAGCAGTATCTGGAAAATAAGGCTGGTTTTTTCCTTACTACCCAAAAGGTTCTCATTTGAAGCACTGGCAGCACATTCTGCAGTGTACGCAGCATTAAAGCCATGTGTCCTTGCTATTTCGTAGGAAAGCTGTCAAGCCAGGGTCAGCACCATGACAGTGGCTCCACCAGGAGTACACACGTTGGAAGAGAAAAATACAAACCAGACTGGTACTTCTCAGCAGACCAGAATTTGCAGTAGAGGAGGCCTATGAAAAAAGCGCATGATTTAACCCAAAGAAAAGCAACTGGTAGCTCTGACAGCAACATGCTTCTCAGAAAGTACTAACCCTGGTACTCTTTGATGTTGCCAGAGGGTCACTACACAGGGAGGAAGACTGTTAAGAAACAAAAAACAAAACAGAACCAGATAATTCACAAAAGGAGACTTGGTCTCTCCATCACGAGAGCAGAAGCTGTTTATTCTGTACTCCATCATAATTCTTTAGCATTTCCTGAGTGCTAAACGTAGTTAAGTAACATGTAAGGTGAGAAAAACTTAGCCATTAGAAATCTTTTTGAATACCCATTTTAAGGGATGAGAGAAATACCTGGAAAAGTTTTCTATAAATGTGTTTTAAGTCCTACTGGGTTTTCAATAATAATGCTAGGAGATAAGGTGGCAAACTCAGAAAACACTCAAGAAAAGAGGGCCATCCAAGGGGAGTACGGAGGTCAGTGGCCACACCCGGGTCACCAGTAGCTTCTGAGACACATTGGAGACCTCACGGCAGACTCCTGATGAGCTTGGCCTGGTTGCTGAGGAAGCAGGTAAATGACCTCCAAGTTATCACTACAAGAACTCTTTTCCAAATAGATTAGAAACCCTGTATTTCAAAACAGGCCATAGACAAACTGTCTTAGTTTAATCAGAAAAAACGTACTTGTCACAATGAATCCAAGGCACTAACAAGGCACAGCATTTTTAAAAATGGACTTAAACCTTTCTTTTTCTGCTGTCATTTGAAAATAATTTTCAACTCTTTTTTCCAAGCCCATCAGGGCAAATAAGAATATCTAGGTTGTGTGGGCAGGTTTTGACAACTGAACTCTTTTCTATGTACTATGTGCCACACATATTTCTGTTTCAAATGTATGGTGTGTCAAACATCTTGAAAAAACAAGGATTCTAACATTAAACAAATAATTATAATCTTCCCATCCCAATTACAGTTTAAATTTTTACATATAAGCTTTTATTAAAAGACCATCCACCATGATGTACAGTGATGCCTACAACTTATTCTGAAATGCATCCCCCCAAAAAAGATAAATCAATGGATGGATAGATAGAAAGACAATAATAATAAAGGAAATATAATAAAATATTAATTGTACAATCTAAGTAGTAGGCACGTGGGTGGTTAATATATCATTCTTTGAACATTTTTGTATGTTAAATATTTTTCATTTAAAAAAAACTGGGGAAATTCGTACTCATTTACAAATGTGGTGGTTCAATAATTCACATCATGTAAAGATATACAGACTCTATGAATTCAGTTACCACAAACTAGTGCACACACAGCCACTCACAGATTAGTTCTAACTAGTCAAAATGCAAAACCAGGGGTTAGAAATATGTTAAAGTTGGATAAAACACACAAAGCCAAAAAGCTTGAGACAAACCCGAGTGTAGTAGGCAGAGGTGGGTTTGCTATGCCTAAGACTGCTATAGCTTCTCTGGTCAAAGTAGAGGCCGCTCTGCAAAAAGTAAAATTAAACACATTTTTCTTAGGTTAAACATTGGTGACAATACACAAAGGCAAACTCAGATACTACCTACCCTCTTTCCTCCAAAACAATGACTTTAAAGCACTGACTTGCATTAAGTTAAAGTCAAAATAATAATTATCTCAAATCTCCAAAAAAAGACTAATATTAAAGGTTAACTGTATTCAAACCAAGTCAATACTAATTTTTTTACTTTAAAAACATGAGCATAAACCTCCGTCAAAATGGAATGGAAAAAATAAGTGATTTATTCTCCTGTCATACTTAGTAACATCCTTGGAAAAGCCAAGACAACTGAGTAATTACCACTTTTATAATCCACTTGGCAATGCCACAGAAAAGAGCGAAGTCTTTTTCTTCAAATTTCTCCTAGTCCCATCATTTGACGAAATAAACTGATTGAATTAAGTTACCAAAGACACAGTACAAGTGTGTCCTAAACAGGTTTAGCCTAAAACATCTATGGCAGGTTCCTTTTTTTTTTTTTTTTGCAGGTTCCTTTTCAATACACCATAAAAACAAGCCATTATAAAGACTATGGTTACCTGGCAAAGAGAATGTCATCTATAAAATTGCCTTTATAACCACTTTCTTCACTCAGAGTTAAGGAAATGTAAGCAATCCCTGACTGACAGACTCCTCCTGTACTGCTGACACTGTAATGGGGGTGGGGGGATCCCTACCACTGACCCCTGCCACTCCCAGCCTGGCCTCCCCACACCAGCCCCTCAACAAGGCATCAGGACTAACCTCTCCCCAGAGCTCCCAAGGCTTCACCCTCCAGAGCTTCTCACTAATGTCCTCTCCATTATTTTCTCTCCTACCTGCCGAAGCTTATTGATCCTCTCTCACCCCACCAAAGGTCAGAGCCCCCTCCAGAGGAACCAGTTAACAGGAAGCTTGGAACTGATTCTCCCATCAGTACTGTGGCAGCCTGACAGGAAGAGGTGTTCCTAATACCCCAAATGGGCATTCTGGACACATTTTCCCCAACAGAAATGTTTAGCAAGGTGGCTAGAATAGAGCACTATTAGTTCTGCAATTTAATGGCATTCTAGGTTAAAGAGTTTTCTGCAAGACAACATGGAATTCTGCTAACACATACCTCATTCTTTCTACCAGAAAATTCATTCCACATTCCCAAAATTTGACCAACAAACATTGGCACTGTCTATACTACCACAACTAAATCAAATTTCTAAAATAAGGATACAGATCTCACTAAACCTGGGTGCCTGGGTGGCTCAGTCGGTTAACTGTCTGCCTTTAGCTTGGGTCACGAGACCTGCATCAGGCTCCCTGCTCAGTGGAGAGTCTGCTTCTCCCTCTGCCCCTCCCCCTGCTAGTGATCTCTCCCTCTCTTTTTCTCAAAAAAATAAATAAATAAATAAATAAATCTTTTAAAAAAGAATCTCACTAAACCTATTCTTGAAGTATATTCCAAAGTACAGTTCATAACTGAAAATACATGATTAATGAACTTCTTGTATTAACTTGCTATTAAATCCTGTAAGTGAAAACAAAATTAATTTTAAATAGATTCTGATAAATCATGTTTCAGTATGTTATCAAATTTCAATAACACCTAAGGCATACATGAAAGCAACCATAATTCTTAAGTACCCTAGAAGTAATCAGTGAATTTTATAGCAGCACGAGACAGTGGGACATGAGACAGAACACAACTAACCAGTGGGTCTTTATGAGAACCAGAAGACCTCTTCTTCATTCCATAAGAGTGACTGTAAGAATGATTCTGGAAGTAAACATCTAAAGTTAACTTTCACAATCACAGAGTGAAGTTTAAAAAATAACTTAATAAACTTCATCTTAAAATTACACACAGAAAGATGCATAAGAGATACAGAGTAATCCCCATGGAATCTATTTCCCAGCTGTTAGTAAATTAATCATGGCACTTGGCTGACTACCGAAGATACATAGCACCTCTACACATCCGCAGTCCCCCTGACTCTGCCCCCATGCCACCAAGCTCCATGTACAGACAGCTAAAAAGATATGATTAGGACTCAGAGCCAGGCAGGGCGTTTGTGAGGATGTTCACCCCACATCTTACTTGAGTCCTTTCTACCTTCTACCTTCCTTATAAAGATATGCAGGACAATAGGTTCCACCTCCTTCTAGGCCTTTCTTAACAAAAGGCAAAAAGGCAATCCTTTGGGATCAACCAAAACAAGACTGAGAGAAAGAATATGGCATTGCTTTGCCCAAGAAAAGCACATGCTGCTCAGGAGGAAAACAGCCCAGACGGTATGGATTACTCCTTGTAGCAACAGCATTATCAGACAAAGGACCTTACACACAGGTCCTCTGAAGACAGCACTGTCTCAGTACATAACTTCACCCAGCACCACAAAACCAGGTATAGATGAGGGAATAAAGGACAGAAATACTACTATACAGGTCTTTAAGTAGACAAGAAACCCAATCTAGCTATGTGCTGCTCACCTGAAATGAGGAGGTGTAGCTAGAAATGTCCTACTTATCAGCAGTCTGCTCTAGGCAAATCATTTGACAAATGTGCAGCTAGATCCTAAATCCATCCACTCACTGTTCTTTTTTAAATATGCATATCCTTCCTTTTATAAATTACCCTGAACATTTTAAGAGATGACTATATTGTCTAGAAACTCAGGCAATCTACCAACATAATATTAACCCAAGGAAAACATGCTATAACTAAACTTCCTTGGCTAAAATGACATACATAAAAAACCAACCAAATCAAGCAAAAATGAGCAGACATAACATGTTTCAGGTAACACCTGTCACTGCTGGCTGTTTCCTGTTTAGCAACTTCACACCTGCTGGCTTGTGACACATAACAAGGAACACAGCAGGGCCTATAGTTCACTGGGCATCAAACATTGCCAGAAACATGTCTTCCAGGCAATGCACATGTGTCATTTAAGGAGCTCATCACTTTAAGAAAAGATATTACTACCAATCTTAATCCTGAATAAGGAAGCAAATCATTTTTATCTGATCCTGAAATTCTAAAGGAAAAAATTATTCAAATGTTCGATTATGCCACAATTGCAAAACAACAGTTTTTGCATTATTGGCCATATGCTTTCCCCAAAACAAAATAACGAACCTGTGAAAGCTAGTCATAATCTATGATTAGCATGATTAGGTATTTATAAAGTAAAACTCTACATTTAACACAGTCATGCACTACATACTAATGATGAAAGTCTTGACGATCTATCCTTGAGAGCATCATACTGGATTTCAGAAAAAGTTGAGAGTTGATTGTATTCCCAAAATCAGAAATATAAAGAGGAAAAAAGTTACTAAAACTCCAAACTAACCAGAATTTAAGTAAAAACAATTTTTTAAAAATCCAGCACTACTTTAAAGGTCAAAAATTATTATATACAAAGGCTATTACATTTGATTAAAAGAATCTTCTTCCCCACAACCACACTTTCCTAGTATAAGTGATTGCTAAACTCTATGTACATGTAAAGCTGCATCTTCTCTTTCAAACACAGAATTCCTAGTCAATAATGGCGAGATGATTCAATCTCAGTATGCTGTAGCACAAAACACCCACAGGGAGCCTTTACATGCAGGAATAAAGCATTCTGAAATCAAAAAAGACGTTTTACTTTTTATTATTGTGATTGTTACCATCATCTCCCATTGTTTGAAACATGGCAAAAGCAAGGCATAGATAATGAAACAAGAGCACATAACTAATATAATCAGGCTTATAAAAAAATAATTGCAGCACCAAAATGTGGAAGTTCCCTTGAATCTGCCTGTGGATACACAGCTGAAAAACTCCCCTTCTCAAAAACTTTCCCTATTAAAAACACTGAACAAATCTGGTAACTTAGTCTAGGCAAAGTGTGGAATATGCACTGTACACATTCAAGTGTGGCATTAAATATCAATCAAAGAAAAACACATAAAATTATGATAAGATCAGAAAAACCTATTTCATATAGGGTCTTTAAGAAAATAAGTATAATACCATATTTTAAATCAAAGAAACTGAATTACATTAGTAACTACTTAGATTTGTGACTTCCTAATTTTGTTTCTGAAGCATTCTAGCTTACACCTTTTAAGCAATCTTACCCAGAAGAGGCAAACAATAGTATTATTACATGTGTAACAAAAATCTTATTTATCTAAAATTTTCTAAAATGCCTAAAGTTATGCATTTAGTAAATTACGTGCAATGGTAAAATGTCACTGTATAGTGAGTGACATTTCCCTGAAAGTAAAGTTCCTTCTGTATAGAAATTTCACTTAGGTCTCTTCTCCATTAACAAATTACATTTTTTGTTTAAAAAAAAAAAAATATATATATATATATATATATATATATCATCACTAAAATATGTATTACTCAAGCCAACACATCCTTGCCACTAAACTATTCTGCCCTCCCAACCAGGCAAGTTCAGTGAAGAAAACAGCCATGTCTTATGTTTTCTGATCCTCTCTGTAGCTCCAACGGCATTTTTCAAAGGCACAGAATTTAACAAGGGAATTGAAATTGACCTATTTCAATTTTCTCTTTCGAAAACATAATGCAGAGTTCAGCTGGTTTTTAAAAAACTGCTGAATCTGATAAGAAATCCATAACTTGGACATCCCAACTGCTACTAGAACAACTGGGTAAATATAAAGAATCCCTCCAGTACATACCAATTGGTATCTATGTTGTTTAAAAACAAATAATTCATCAAAGAAGGGAGAACTGAAAATATTAAGAGCTCTTGCTAAAACATTTCCAAATTTTCTATGACAGTCTGTCAAAAAGAATTTAACTTTCACAGAAAGTTACCTGAAAGTCTTCATTTGAAATAAAATTAAAAGAAATGGAGCAACTTTTTGTTTGTAGAAACAAAGTTCAGCAAGTGTCAATTTCCGTTAGAATATACCTATTATTCAAGCCCGCAGAACTCTGAAAGTCAAAGTGCATAATATTAACACTGCACATTTTTCTGAACTACACACCATGATGTCTTTCCTTTTGGGTATACTGGCTCTGCTCCAGTGTGTCCCAGTTATGGCCTTCGACGGGCTCTTCCATGGAATTAAACAGTGTAGTAGTAAATGACAAAACACAAATTACAAGCATATTAAAATTAAATTCATTTAAATTATACTAAGCGTATTAATAATTTAAGGGGAGCTAATATATCCAACAGTAAAAATCTGCACCAGTAAGAAACTGTAATGTATTCCTACTGCTCTGGTTCAAGATGGCCTCAATTTCCTAATTTTGGACCTCTACCTTACGGTCCTCTCATATTTCAATATAAAAAGCAGTGACAAAGCATTTGTAAGATGCTTTTTACAAGCAGACTGTTTTTTGAAGAAACAGACTATTTAAATTCTAAGCTCAGGGCTTTGATTTCATCCTCCTGCCCCCAAACCTTTCATTCACCGTCTTGAACTATCTTTGCTCTTTCTATTTTTTATAGAATGTTTATAGCATGGACACCATTTCCAGCCCAAATACCTTCTGGCAGGCCATCTTTCAAGAAAGTATTAACTGAAGTTAACTGGATAAAAAAAAGATTGAAGCCCTAAGAATATGGCAGAAAATATTCTTAAATACATCTGCCTCACATCCAGGTACTACTATGACCATACATCCAATACAAGGTCCAGAAGTGTTAGACTTTTTTAATATATAGTTCATACATTTTAAAAAATAACTGGCAAAGAAATACCAAAACTCCCAAATTACAGAGCAAATCCCAATAGAGTTTAGGTCAGGGTTTTAGGCCATCACATTTATTTTTAAAAGAGAACAAAAGCTGTCTACGTAATACAGCTTAATGTATGTGGTAGTTATTTTTTTTTATTTTTTGTTCTTTTAAACTCTTATTTAAAGATTTTATTTGTCAGTGAGAGAGAGACAGAGAGAGCAAAAGCAGGGGGAGCAGGAGGCTGAGGAGAAGCAGGCTCTCCACTAAGCAGGGAGCCTGATGCGGGACTCAATCCCAGGACTCGAGAATCATGACCTGAGCTGAAGGCAGACACTTAACCAATTGAGCCATCCAGGCATCTGTGGTGGTTATTTTTTTAAAAAGTAAATAATCTGGGGGCTCCTAGCTGGCTCAGTCAGTAGAGCATGCAACTCTTGCAAGCCCAAAACCCACACTGGGTGCAGAGATTACTTAAAATTTTAAAAAGAAAACGACATAATCTGATGAAAATTAGAACTCCCAATATTATCTACTTAAAACAAACAAAAAAATCTTACCTCAATTATACTTTATTTTTAAAGATTTTATTTACTTATTTGAGAAAGAGAGTGGAAACAAGGAGCGGGAGGGGGATGGTGGAGAGGCAGAAGAAGCAGACTCCCCGCTGAGCAGGGAGCCCAAGGACCCGGGGATCATAACCTGAGCCAAAGGCAGACCCTTAACCAACTGAGCCACCCAGGTGCCCCCCTCAATTATATTTCTTTTAAACAATGTTATTAGTGAGCTTTCAGACTTATTTCCAGGAAATCTAACTATTTAAAATGTGCTGGATATACACTCACACGCAATAACGTACTGGAGTCTCCTCTAGAGTGTAAAATTTTTATTAATATTCATGTTCACACTCAGATTTTTTAAAATACTGGGAGCTTTACTCTTTACCATAGCAGCAAATTTTCACTCTTACCACGGTGAAATAAAATGCTGTGAGAGTTCTACTTTTATCTGAAATGTATTTAATGGTAAAATTTCCATAAAAAGAAAATCATCATCATTACTTTATAGACCCCCATGGTAACCAATTCTTCATTAGCTTAATTGCAGGTTTAATTTCTCTTGTGCTTGTTTACAGATTTGTTTTAAAGCCTCCTAAATTAGGGGCGCCTGGGTGGCTAAGTCGGTTAAGCGTCTGCCTTTGTTTCAGGTCATGATCCTGGCCAGAATCCCAGGATTGAGCTCTGCGTTGGGCTGCCTGCTCAGTGGGGAGTCTGCTTCTCCCTCTTCCTCTGCTCCCCTCCTCACCACTGCTTGTGCACCTCTCTCTCTCTCTCTCTCTCTCGTGCACACATGCTCTCTCTCATGCGTGCACACCCTCTCTCAAATATTTTTTTAAATGATTAAAAAAATAGATTCTTAAATTAGGTCAAATTTAGATGGTTTTACTGTTCAGTTAAACTAATATAACCAATATATAATCAAGTTTCCCTGATACCACATAGAAAATTATAAATAACCAGCTTGATGATAACTGTGTGAAACCTCACACTATGAACATTATAATGGAAAGCAAAGGAAAAAGCCATAATTTTTTTTTTAAATGGGGAGAGATAGTTCTCAAACTCTCAACACTCAACTTTTAAGCTTTTATTGACTAACTCCCTGTAAGATTCTTTTCAAAGTGTTTAAAGAGAAAAAAAATCTCCAGGTAGAAGAAGGATGAATTTATTATCTCAAAAAATGTTTCTCCTGTAAAATCAATTCAATCAATTCAAGTTGCTGATTAGATTACTGAGACTTGTTAATATTCTTATAAATCTAAACTTTTGCAATTAACTAAAATATTTATGATTCAAAAGCAAGTGTACGAACTTATTGTAAAAAGAGAAAGTAGATTACATTCACCAATAAGAAATATGACTAGAGCAAAGGACTATTTAAGACTATAAACACATCTGTAACTGATATACCAGATCACACTTGGTTTATTATAGAGTACTTTTATATATTACACAAGCTAGGAAGAAAACTAGACTTAGGGGAAGTTAACCAATAGAGATCTCAACATGAAAGATGGTTTTACTGATGAAAAATCTATATATATGCATATCAATATTGTCAGTGCACAAATTAAAAGCATTGCTTTAAGGTTTCAAACACAATTCTTTAAAAGAAGATCAGTGTCTTGGCACAATATACAAGACTTCAATGAACGAACTCTCATTTACCTTGATTTATAGCAATGAATGCTAAAAAGGTGAGACATACTACAAAATGTTAATCAAAATGTTGAAGTATGGTAATTACTGTAAATATGATAAGCAGGGAATTTTTCAAATCAGTAGCTCAAATTTTCCATGTAATAGAACTATAATTAGTCAACCAAGCACCAAAGCTATTACCCATTTAATAAAGTTATTTTTAAAAATATGGAAGTGGGAAAATCTGAAAGTCAAACTATACAATGTCATTCCATAGGAATCAATCTTATTATTTTGAGACAATTTTTCAAAATCAAAGTTCCTTTTCCACAAAAAATAGTACTACATATGTTAATAGTTTAAAATATTCATGATTTTAGAATTGATTTATATTGATTATAGCAATGATTTAAGAGAAAGATCACTTTCCAATGAAAGGACTTTGCCAATATTTCCTTTATTTTTTTTTAAAGGCAAAGGAATATGAACACTGTCAGATTGTTCAGGCAATAATGCTGCAGAAAGCTCACACATATAAGCTTTGCTATCATGGTGCAAACAACTTAAAATACCAACCCTGTGACTGCCAAGACTTCGAATGGACAATGCATCCTCAACTCCCTGATAAGAACAAAAACAAACATGGCATAAGTTTGCAGGTAACTGCATTAAGTTAATGAGGGGCAAGTATAGGGGCAAGTTCATTGGTTATTACAAACCAGATAAGGTCGATGATGACTAGACCGGTGGGAATACCTGGCCCTTTCTGAATCTTCCTGGGAAAGGAGAAAATACATGGAGAGTTAATCACTGAACACAGGGCTATCAGAACAACTGTGCCAACAGCAATCGGTTAGGAGCACAGCAGCACCTTCCTTATAGCAAGCAGGTATGGACAACTCAGCTTCTAAAGCTGGGTCTGGGACAGCCACATGCTTAGGTGGAAAGAAAGTAGCAATAATTATAATCTTGTGTATGTGTGCCTGACCACTTCTAAATTGTAATCTATAAATGACCAGGAAAGCTCAATATACCAAGATAAAAATAAGCAAGTATACTTAACAAACAGAAACTGAGTTCAGCATTAAAAGTAAAGCTTTATCTATTTTTTTTTTCACTGTGAATGTGCATTTATGCAAGGCAAGAAGAAATGTTTATTACAAAGATAGTTTCAGGACTTAAAAAAATTGGGGTCATAATTTTGTGCTCACTATAAAAGAATTTTTTTGTTTTCTTGGACCCCTCTACCTAGAAAATAAAAGAATAACTAAATAAAATACCAGCCCTGTGTTGTTAATATGAAAAAACTACTTATAAATAGAAGAAACTATGTAAATCATTTAGAGTTGGTAAAGTTATTTCAAGATCTATGCCTCATGAAAACGGTAAAAAAAAGGGGGGGGGACAAGAACAAAAACCGAATGATGACCACAGCCTAACAGTTGACCAAATTAAATGCAACTGTAAACTTTTCCACAGTCAGCTATTAGCAATGGAGCATTAAGTTCTGTCTGTGGGATCCAATGACTAGTTCCTAGAGTCTAATCAACTGCAACAGTAAGGAACTTCTGATCTCAGAATTTCAAAGTCCAAAGTGTTAAAGTAATTTGCACTGACTAAGAATCTACACCCAACTGTCCAGCTGGGTTCCTAGCTAATCAATGCTGTCTTTTCCAAAAGGAATCAATACCTAAACACCACGTGGCACTACAGCATGATCACTACACAGGTGGAAGAAACAGATGTGGTCATGTCCAATCATCCATTTCAAATTACAGAAAGAGTAATTCCACAGAAACACTACAACCTAATGCCTTATTTTGGTCATGATCTTTCGGCATCCGTCAAAAACACTCCTGGTTGTCATCTGCTGTGTGCACTGATGCACGTGATCAAATCTGTTCAGAAGTCTGTTTATAAGCACCAATATGATTCAGTGATACAATATCCAACAGAGTGTTCTGAACTTTAGGAGCTCATCAGTGATTTACAATTTTGTTATATAACAAACACAGGTAATCTACAAGAAGGCAAGCAAATTTCTTCCTTTTCCCCATCAGGTTATATATCACAAAAGTTTTGGGAGCATGTGCATAAAACCAGCCGAGTACGTACGTACAGTTTACTGAGTTGTAACCAGTTCTAGGCTAATTAGCTTTGTAGAGCCCTGTGCTATTCAAACAGCCTAATTCTACACGCCCCTTCACAGTCTTATTTGGGGTACTAGGGCAACATACATTGTTTAATGTTCAATCTTTCCTTTACCCTTTTTTTTTTCATTCCACCTACCACGCAAGGGCACTTTTTAAAATTCGACCTCTAAAAACCAAAGTCCATTAAAGATGCAGCAAAGACAGATGAATTCATATTTATCTTCAATTATGTAACTTATAAAAATAATTCTTAATAAAAATACCTTAAATAACTTATTTTTTCGCCCCATTTGGAAAAACTGGCCAAAAACGACCTTAGAAGACTCCATAGAGGCCACTTAATGTGAACTGCAAGAATACAGTTTATTCCAGTTATAAACTACACCTTAAAACAGCACTGTCCACCAGAACTTTCTGTGACAAAGTGAAAATGTTCTGTTTGTGCTAATACGGTAACCAATGGCCCCACGTGGCTATTGACCTCCTGAAATGCTAGAAGTGCAACTGAGGACTTAAATTTTGAATTTTAATCTATTTAAATCTAAACGTAATTACCCACATATGGCTGATGGCTACTATACAAACAGTAAGGCGAGCTCAAAGCAAATTTTCATTATACCAAAAAACCGCAAAGCACATATTTAACTAAGAGGCTGCCATGTTGCACCACTCTTATATAAAAAGGCAGGCATTTAGGTACTTGTGAATTACTGCCCCTACCTTGACTACTTCTGCACAGTGACAAACATGAGAGAAAGAGAAAGAAAAAGACCCTAGAACTATTTTTAAGAGCTAGAAAGGTCCCTAGAGATTATACAGTCTGATCCCTTCATTTTAAAGTAAAGAAAATTGCAACACAAAAAGATTAAGTAGGAATCCACAAAGACATAAAGCTGGGATCAGCATTCAAATCCTCTGACTCCCTAGGCCACCAAACCATAAAGAGACTATCCTACTCCGGCTAAATCTACACTGTGACATAACAAGAATATGAAGACAATGGCTAGCTGGTCTAGGTTTTACTCAAAGATTCCTCCTTCTCTGGAAGAACAAGCAACTTCATTTCCCAGGTATTCTAGAATAGTATTTTAAATTGCCAATTGGCTTTTCCTCAATTAACGGCACCAGGGGCCAAGAGAAAGAAAAAAATTCGGCAACCGTATTTCCAGGTACCAACTACAAGGCTGACTATCCTTCTTTTCCACAGTCTGGGAAACAATCCATTTTCATTGTCCTGAAAGTCAGCAGTAGTACATAGGATCCAAAGCAGAAAAAAAAACCAAAAAACAAAAAACAGGACAATGCCTTAAAAAATGCATGTATAGGGGCGCCTGGGTGGCTCAGTCGGTTAAGCATCTGTCTTTGGATCAGGTCATGATCCCAGGGTCCTGGGATCAAGCCCCACATCAGGCTCCTAGCTCAGTGGGGAGCCTGCTTCTCCTTCTCCCACTTCTCCTGCTTGTGTTCTCTTTGTCTGTCAAATAAATAAATAAAATCATTTTTTTTTTTAAATGGATGTATATTTGTTCAAGGTTTTCTGGAAAATTATTTTGATACTTTTAAATTCATGGCAATGAAAAGTAATCTGCTTTTAAAAATTCACTTCATGTGGAGATGAAGCGATTTTATTGAAAGAAAGAAGACCACAGCCCCCTGAAGGCACCTGGCCCTGTTCTCTGTCAACAAGTAATATTTAAGTCAAGGCTGGAACCATTCCTTCAGTTTCAAATTCGGAAACCTCAGAAATCGCACATTCTCCTCCAGGTCACCAACACGCTGCTGATGGAGACGTTCAGTTTAAAAACAGAAACACTGGCCTCACTGGGACTATCTGGAGGCCTACAAAGACTTGGGCCCTTTCGTCTTGGTCCTCTCACCTTCCAACCCACTAGCAGGTATGGCGTGCTCTCTGACCTTTGAATTCTGGCTCTGCCAATGACTGAGCAAGTTGTTGACTCCACCCACCTTTATCACCTTATCTGTAAAACGGAGATGGTGGTCCCTATCTTATAAAACGGAGACATATGTAAACAGCCCTGGCACGGTGCTGGCATACAGACCCTCATTGTTACTTCATTCCTGAGTCTCATGCCATGGCTTTTCCTCTTCACACCCCCCAACATCCCACCTCTACACCCAGAAAGTGTGAAAATTAGGAGAAATTTTTAACATGGGTATATTTTTCCTTCTAATAACTGACAATCCCATTATTTGTATATGAGTTATTTTATTATATATTTATTGTTCTTTATATCTTATATTGTGATTATAACATGCCAACTTCTACTATAGGCTCATAGAATGCAGCCAGAGAGACAGATAAGCTGAGAAGTGAAAGGAAAAATTAGTTTGAAAAGAGTAAAAACCAAGTGTCAGAAGGGGTTAAGTGATAATTATTGCCATCTGAAACTAAACCCCGTCCATATTCTCTGTGAGTCTGAGTTATCACTCAGGACTTGAGTTAGTACCATCTACATTCTAAGCCTCCAAACCGAAAATGTTCCCCCTTCATGAAAATCTAGTGCATTCACTTCCTGAACTGCATACATTTCACAGAGATAAAAACTATGTTTTTATCTTCATGGCCTTGGAATAGAAGAATCAAACATGAGACTTTCAATATAGGCTTTTCTTCTTAGTGTTTTGGTGTGTCCTAAGATAATAAAATCTCAGGCAATTTAATTTTAGAACTATGATACATAATTTTTAAAAATTAAACTAATATTTCCATGGAAACTTTACAAGCAAAAGTGATTTCTTTTATTCATAAAAAATGTTAATGAATCAACAGTAAGATAAACCAGTTTCATGCAGAAGACACTTGAAATAAAACCAATTAGGCTAGCTTTAGTAACAAAAAAGGACAGATTCTACTCTAAAGTAACAAACACATTCATGAGGAATCACTTAATTGTAAGTAACCAAACATTGTCTTTCTCTCCTTTCTAAAATATCACAATGAGGGGCGTCTGGGTGGCTCAGTGGGTTAAGCCGCTGCCTTCGGCTCAGGTCATGATCTCAGGGTCCTGGGATCGAGTCCCGCA